TAGTGGCAGATTCTACCATACATGGTGCCACCTGCTACTGAGTATATACGCACTTAATCAGAACCATTATTGATAAAAACTCTTAGTCATCACAGTATGTGTTGTAAATTTCTGCCTGTGGCGCCCTCCAGTGGTTGTGTGAAAGAATATACGGTGGCAGACAGCAATACACGCATCTATTGACAGCAGATGTGTTTCCATTAACTTAATTTTATACTCATTTTGAAGTATCACATCAAAAAAGTTGTATGGAAACAGCAAAATTTGATAAAACATCCTCAACTGCACAAAAACGTTTTTACACACTTAAATTTGATGAAAAAGAGTTGATGCTCTAAATAGGATACTGAAACACCCTTGCCGAATAAGTTCTGATGTAGCAAACATATAACACTTATAACTGATCAGCTGTTTATCGTTGTCTCCTTGGATATTCATTCATGGCATCATTATTTTTCTCTGACAGCACGAAACATGGTCATTATTAGCAAACATGAAAGAATAATTAAAATTTGCTCGATTGAAACAAATTCCTGGAGACCTCTCTCCATTTTTCTCTTGTAGATGGGTTAGATCCTGGATGTATAAAGAGAACTGGATACAGTGTAGGAGGCTGGGCCCCATTCATTCCCATCAAAGTTACTCAGTGAACAAAAGAGCTACAGAGACTTTCATTGTTTAAACACTGAAAGGACTTAATATGAATGGACTTTTGACTCTGATAACTCTGGCTTGTCGTTGTCTTTCCCAGTATACAATTGTTGTCATAACTCTATTGTAAATAAAGTTTTTTGGAGGAAAAAAATGTTCAGTGGCACATGAAGGCAAAAAAGGCCCTCCACTAACTTGAATGGGGATAAAATTATTTAATCGTGCCTTACCTCTGGACTTTCGAGATGTTATCGCACCAAATGGATCAAATTCTGAGGGTGAAACAAGTCATTTTGCAGAGGCTGTGTAAAAATGTACCTACTCACTTGCAGACGTCTCAATCCTAATGTAAATCTATGGGAAAAAGTCTTTAAGGGCCCAGTTGCATCAAGTGGCAGACTCGGCAGTTGTAGTTACACGGTTTGGCCACTATGTCAAACTAACTTCAAAGCCCAGTGCACTTCTGGGGGCCTGGGTGAGATGACCAGGGTGACTTATTTTGTGTGCACCGACCAATGTCAAATACAGATGTGTCTCAGTTTTAGGAGTCAAACTATGGAAAGGACTCAGTGCTGAGTTGAAATTGAGTTGCTCTCCGTTGAGTTTGAAAGAAAGCCCTAAAATGTAAAATGATTACGGATTATAATTTAGAGTATAATGCATTTATTTATTTACTTTCTTTGGTATTGTTGATATTTTGGGTTATCCTTTGGTTAATAAAGGATAGGCACAAACAATACTGGGGCTTCAGCCTGTCCTTTTTCGATTAATAACTGTGAGGAAATTTGTGTGAAATAATCTTTGTTTTCTAAGATGTATGTAACCGAAATAAAAATCATTCATTTATTGCAGTGTAGATTGTGTTTTGTGACCTAACAGTCTTTTCTCTGTGTCCTGTCAGAGGTGGGATCCTGTGTAAACTATGGAAGGCCATCACAGACTACAGGCAGAAGCCAACCTGAGGCCTTAAGTGGCGACAACCACTCAGAGAATCCAGGACGTTTGTCCCCCAACAACACAGTATTCTCCTCTTTACCTCAGTATTTATAAGAGCAAGACTTTTAGGAGATGAATCTGTGTTTGCCGTGTGCACAGAGCAGCTTTCCAACCACACAAGAAACTCCTTGACTGGTCTTGTTGGAGTATTTTTGTACATTTTGGAAGAAAAAACACAGGATTTGACTTACGGAGCAACAATTACTTATAACTGAGAAGTGCCACTAGTTTTGCTATGCCGGACGGACATTACACATTTTTTTGTTACAGGTGTGTTCAAAAAGACAATTGGTGAGAAAATCTGTTGTTAAAATCTTGAAAACTGTCAAAACATTTTCTCTGTAATGTTTACAAAACTGGAGACTGACCGTTTTCTAACACAAGCCTGAGATACAAAATACTACATTCAAAATCATGTGTACTAATGTTTTTATCATAGGCATCCTATCACTACTTTATTTAAGTGTATTTTTAATTTAATTGTTATGGTAAACTGAAGGATGTCAGTGCATGCCCTGTTTTCATTTTTATCCATACTGAGACTTATTTAATTTTTTGTTTTTCACATTTCCTTTTATAATACGAATCAATATTTTTTTTTTATTTTTCAGAAACATGTAAATATTGCGTTATAGAATTCTATGTGAATGACATTTATGTGCTTTAAAGATGCATTGAAAAGCAGTTTAAATCTCCATGTGGATCAGACCGAGTCTACAATGAACACGTGAAAAATTTATTGTATAGTATTGTATTTTCTAGTGTCATAAATCATAGGAGAAAATAATAGTAATTGATATTACATCAGATCATTTGCTCTGTTTTTACTGTTGTACACTGACAAAAATGTGCTTATCTTGCTTGTGTAGATATGTTCATTCAATCGGCTGTATGTTGTGATGAAAAAAATCTGACATGCAAGCAGTTTTCATATGGAAGAGCCTTGACCTTTTTTTATTTTAAAACCATGATGTCAGAAATGGGGAACATAATCATGAGCTGTGTGTCCATTTTGTTTCATATCTAAATTTATTCAAGATTTTTGTGTCACATTGTTAAAATAAAACTTTTCATCTTGAAACTGTGAAAGAATTGTGTCAGAAATACTCTGTTACATTTGTGATTGAATACAGTCGCCTAAAGGTATTTTCATTGTTGTTAAGAATAGGGTGGTATATGCATTGGTTATTATGAGGAAATCTACTCATGGAGAAAGATTATAGTTGTACTTGCTACAAAACATAGTATTAAAAATTGGATTAAAGGTTTATACTGTTCCCAAAGGAAGTTAGGCTTCCATTAGTAAATCAGTACAGTGCGTATGCTGCATCAGGCTACCTAAAAATGTGTTGTAATACGACCTCGGGTCAATCATGAAACAGTGGGCCCCTGGGCACAGACATGGAGAAGGCCCCACCACCTCTCCTACACAGGATCAAGACACACTGACTTTATAGCTGTTTAGAGTCTTGTTACAGTTTGCATCTTTGTAGTTACTATGCATCTCTCTGTGGTTTTGTGTCTCTTTGTAGTCATTTTGAGTCTTTATAGGTCTTTATGTCTTTTTGTAGTAATTTTAAATCCATCCATTTTCATAACCGCTTATCCTCTTGACGGTCGCAGGGGGGCTGGAGCCTATCCCAGCTGACATTGGGTGAGAGGCACATAGAGACAGACAACCATTCACACTCACATTCACACCTACGGACAATTTAGAGCCACCAGTTAACCTGCATGTCTTTGGACTGTGGGAGGAAGCTGGAGTACCTGGAGAAAACCCACGCTGACACAGGGAGAACATGCAGACTCCGCACAGAGGGGCTCCCTCCTGGGATTGAGCCAGGAACCCTCTTGCTGTGAGGCGACAGTGCTAACCACTGCACCACCATGTTGCCCAATTTTAAATCCTTTATAGTTTTTTTTAACTACTGTTTGTAGTCATTTTGAATGTCTTCACAATTTTTTGATGCTTCATAGTCATTTTGTGTGTCTTTGTGGTTGTTTTGTGTCTCTTTGTGGGGATATTGTGTCTCTTTGTAATTTTTGTACTAATTTTGAGTCTCTTGTTGTTTATGTTTCTTTGTAGTCATGTTGTGTCTCTTTGTAGTTTTGTGTCTCTGTAGTCATTTTGAGTCTCTATAGATTTTTATGTCTCTTTGTAGTCATGTGTCTCTTTGTAATTGATTTGTGCCTATTTATAGTTGTTTTTGGCTTCTTCATAGTTTTTTTTGACTCCTTGTAGTCATGTTGTTTCTCCTTGTAGTCATTTTGAGTATCGTTATAGTTTTTAAATGTCTCTTTCTAGTAATTTTGAGTCTCTTTATAGTTTTTAAATGTGTCTTTGTAGTCATGATGTGTCTCTTTCTAGTTGCTTTGGGTGTCTTACAGATTACTTGTTACCCTGTTAAAAATGTAAAAAGTAAGGCAACTATTCTAATTACCTCATCAACGTAATGTTACGTACTACATTTGATTACTTTTTAATTACTTTTCCGACAAATGTTTTAAACTGAGCAATAAAGCTGAAAAATGTCTGAAAATAGGTTATGTCAAAAGAAAACATCCCTGCACAGCGAAAAGGATGCAGACCAACAAAATGAATGTTATATCCTACACAAAAACATTTTACAGAACGGAATATTTGGATGTAAACCTTTTTGAAATCACCAACATTTTGATCAGTAACTGTAATTTATTTTTAACAAACCCTATCACAAAACATCCCAGCAGACAGGATGACCATCATACTGTCTTTATTGACTGTACACTGTTAATGATACTTATCTGTACATCCATGGGTATGTTGCAAACAACTACTATCAGCTATAGGATCTGATTGATTGAAGTACAGTCCTGTGTTTGTTAATTCAAGGTGGAAACATTATGGTTCCACTGGGGATTGAACCCAGGACCTTCTGCGTGTAAAGCAGACGTGATGACCACTACACTATGGAACCTTATTAGTATCCATTCATCCGTTTTAATCAGTAACTACATCTGATTGAGATTACATTTATCTGTAATTTCATTACTTCTAACTAGGAACTCCCCAACACCATCAACTACCACTGCACCACTGTAGAAAAAATGTTAAAATTAAATTATATATACATGCACACACACTTAAACTACCTCAAAATATTATAGGATAATTTTTTTAAAAAAACATATTATTAGTTTAGGGCTACTACAAAGTTAAAAACAGAACACAAACTATTTAAGAGCTAGGGCAAAAAAAAGTCAAATGTCTCCCTTGTGTGTCGCTGCTGTCCAAATAAAGGAGTAAATAAAGCTACAGGTGTGTCAGCTCTCCTCTCGCCATATTTATCCATCATTGTGACGTCAGTGGTTTCTGCTGAGCAGCCCTGCGCTGGTCTCGCGCCCGTCGCCCCCCCTTCACCATGACAACGACAGATTTCTAGCATCGTCAGAGGACACGCCGCTGGCTCCTGATTTAGAGACGGATATTATGTAAAATACCGTATGTTATAGGTGTATTACGGATATTTATTTCATGTAGGACGGTAACATCTGCCGTGTGGACCCGCATGAGTCGGACACCATCCGGAGGCAGCGGAGGAAGACGCCGTTAAACTGCGTGAACGACAACATGGCTCTCCTTCAGCATCCCCGGCTGCTGCTCGCCTGTGTTGTGCTGTTGACCGCAGCCCAACGTACCCACACTCGCTCTTTGCCAATATCGGATCTAAAATCCAAGATATCAGGGGTGGAGGAGCTGTTGGAGGAATTCCGCAAGCAGCTCCAGCAGGACCAGACGTACAGGGCGGGCGATGCGGTTGACTCCTGTGTGGGCGACTTCAACGCCGTCGGGGAGCGCATCATCCGGGCCAAGGCCTCCATCGAGCAAGGGGCCACCTTCCTGCTGGCCCCGGACAGGGTGTACACCTGGAAGGACTGCCTGCACACCTGCTGCTCCCAGCCTCACTGCACCGTGGCGGTGGTGCAGCAGGACCTGAGGCAGCCCGGGGACAGTCTCAGCTGCTACCTGTTCAACTGCACCTACAGGAGTAAAAATGTCTGCTCCTTCGCTCCGCAGCAAGGCTTCACCACATACAGCATACATGGTGCCAACACGACGCAGGGACACCTCCCTGTTTCACCCAGCGGCTCAGCCAGGAGGCCCGGGGAGGGACATGCTGAGGAGGAGGACACACAAGGTGGGAGATGACAACAACATAGATATAAACAGTGCTGGTCTATATTATTGATCATGACTGAGAATAGTGTTGTGCATTGCATGCATTATAATCTGCTCATCAACATTATTAAAAATGTGGTTACAATTGTATTTTAACAGTTTAATGTATTGTTTGCTATTTAATGCTTATAGTGCACACATAAAGGTGTCAGTGCAGGTTATAGAAAAATGACTTGACATTAGTTTGCTATGGGAAATGATTGTAGAAAAACAGGCACAATAGGGAAACACAATGATGATACATATAGTGACTCATTGTGGTAACTGGAAAGTGACTTTATTATTCACCAGTTTTACACTTTCATTGCACTGAATAAAAAAGCAGCAGTGAGTGTGATCATTTGCAGGACTGGTATACTATAATCTAGGTGTAATCTAAAACCCCAAAAGTAATGTCTGCTTCATATTCCTTAAGGTTTGGGCAAAGGTTGGTGCATAAAACATTATCGATCTTGAGAAAACTCAACTGCAGTCTAAACTGAATTTCATATCAGCTGTGTAAAATACATCTTAGCACGTTGGAGCTGGCCACTAGCACCTGCTGCTTATCTTTACAAAGCGGGCAGGGTGGGTTAATGATTTTCCTTTTATGTTCTAGCTGTGCAAAGTTGGATCAGGACACTGAGACCAGCAACAGGTGCTTTTAAGACAGTAGTTTTCTCCTCTGTTAGTTTTAGTTAGTCTCCTCTGTTTCTTGCATTAAAATAAGAAAAGTGGACATTCTTTTGCAGTTATATAAGTGGTGAAATAATAAGCTGAAATGACTTGTCCACTAATTATTTTAATAAATTGTTAAACATATATATATGGAGTGAAGGAAAAAGTGAACACATCAGAGTATCGCAGTATTTTTGTGTGGCAATATCATGTCGTCACACAGTGCCAAGTATCAATTTTTTTATTATATAAATTATTTCAAATACAAATGAACTTCGTTAGCCTGCTAGAATAATATAATCAATTGCTTTTTAAATTCCACTAGACACAATTTGCTGCTGCAAAAAAAAAAAAAAAGGCTAAAGTGAGATGAATGGACTGAAAACTTAATTTTATTAGATAAAACAGATGTTGACAAAGTTTTCCTTTGGGGACATAATTTCTAGTTGGAAAAAGGTAATAAATCGCAATATAGTTTATTGCAATACACAGCATATTGTGACATATTTAAAATCGCTGTAATGTTGTATCATGACTTAAGTATTGAGATAATACCGTATCATGGATCCTCTGGTGATTCCCACCCCTAATATATCTAGATAAATAAATATATTCTTGTTTCTTCTTGCTTTTCTGTGTTTTATATCATTCTTTTTTAATATTTTATTTATAGTTTTTCAGATTTTTACACAAACAACATAACTACAAGTCACCCTACCCCCACCCTCAGAAATGAGCAATACAAAAAGAAAACTAAGAATACAAAGAAGAATAGAACAAAACAAAATGATAAATGCTCTTATAGGCAGTATGATCAGCAGAGAACATGAGATATACATAAACGTATAGTACAAGTACACATACATTGTTTGCACAAACCATTATGAACAAGCATACATGCAAACACTTTAGGCCATTGTCGATAAATAGGATATGAATGGTTGCCCCTGGTTTTATATCATTCTTAATTAGATATGTTTGGGTTTTGGATTGTTAGTCAGACAAAACAAGATGTCTGAAGACATCACTTTTGGCTTTGGGAAATGGGTATCTTTAACTGTTTCTTTAACTGTTTTCTGACAATTTAGACCAAATGATCAATCAGTGAGGAAAGAAATCATTAGTTACAGCCCAAAATAAGAACAATGTTATAATCAAATCCACACCCCAAAAAATAGTAACACAGTGAAGAACATATTTCATGTCTTAACCAGCAGTGGAAGAAAACTAGTATTAATGTAACAAAAGAGAGTAAAACTGAAACAAAGTAGGCATGTAGTGCATGTCCTGGATATTATCATGGTTTTCCTGTGTGATTTTGCAGACGTGGATGAGCCTCCTCGCAGTGACGCTGGACAGGATGTGGTGATCCAGCTGCCCACAGACTGGGCTGTCCTGGATGGACGGGATAGTGTGGATGACCATGGGATCAGCCACTATGAGTGGACTCTGGTCAAAGGAAACACAGCCATCAATATGAAGGTCAGTGTGTGTGCTGTATCTGTTCTATTCAGTGAAGACTAACCGCTAAGAATCTGTAAAATGACTGTAAGCAGTTTAATTTGGGTGCTTGATGTCAGAGTGACAGCCTGAAAACAAAGACTGGAGGAAACAGAGTGAATTAAGAACATTTAGTGGAATAGCTCTGTTCTCTCGTTTCAGGGATCAGACGATTCTAACATTTTAATTTGCAGAATGAATGGTATCTAATTACCAGTGTCAAATTGCCTGTTTGTATAAGTTAAGTCAACACGGCGGCCTGTGGCCAGAGCTCCATAATGCCTTGCTGTACCAACAGAGATAAGAGTTTATTACATTCAAACCTGTCCCAAGGACAGCAGCACTGTTGGAGCCTGCCCTCTGTTTACAGCCTTACAGGCAATGTGTGGAACGTCTTGTACAACGTGTCCTCCTTTTTTATCCTCACACTGTGGTCAATTTTCACCAAAAAAGACATTCTTGACTGGTTATTTTCTCCATTGAAAATTTCACAAAAGATTTCCCACAAAATGTATGTGGTGACATAAACTACACATACAGTGAAATTGTTTAGTTTATTTTAGTGTTGTCAAAAATATCCGATTAGCAGTACATAACAATTCTGTCCTTGCTGTTTGGTTAAAGTTTTACAAAATGTAACATGTATGCCCTCAATGTCAATTTTCCTGTCATATTGAAAATATTATTGAATGACAGTATTTGTCAGGTGTTGTATTAAAGTTAAAAATCCAGCATTGTGACACTAGTTGATTTCTATTTTTTGTGTATTTTAAGCCTTTATAGAACCTCTATGCCACCAGTGCATCCCTCAAATGTTTTTACGCCTCCCCGCCCAACAATAGCCATGGCCGGAGGCATTATGTTTTCAGGTTGTCCATCCATACATTCATCCATTCCATTCTTGTGAACATGATATCTCAAGAACGCCCAAAGGGAATTTCTTCACATTTGGCACAAACGTCCATATAGACTCAACAATAAACTGAAAAGATTTAAGTGGTTATAGATCAAAGGTCAAGGTCACTCTGACCTCATCTGTGTCATTCGTGTGAACGTAATATCTCAAGAACCCCATGACAGAATTTCTCCAAATTTGGCACAAACATCCATTTGGACTTAATGATGAACTGATTAAATTTTGGTGGTCAAAGGTCAAAAGGTGAAGGTCACTGTGACCTCACAAAACATGTTTATGGTCATAACTCAAGAATTCATATGCTAATTATGACATTTTTCACACAAATGTCTAATAGGATAAAATGATGAAGTGATTTCATTTTATATCCAAACGGTCAAAGGTCAACTTCACTGTGACATCATAATGTTCTGTAAAAACACCTTTCTGGCCATTACTCAACATCCTAATTCAGGATCAGAGAGACATTTGGTCAGACAGTGAATTGGTGACACTAATCTGGGGTGTCCCACCTTGAAACTGTGCTGATTTTATACAGTGCTGTCGGGGTGAAGATCTGTGTGAAGCATCCATGTTTTCACAGACATGGATGTAACTTGTACATGCAACTTGACTGGTTCGCAGAGTCGTACAACTGTGAAGCGATAATTCTGAACTTTTCTGTCTTTATGTGTTGAAGGCGACTCATCCAGGGCTGCTGAAGATCAGTGGTCTCCAGGAGGGAGTCTACTCCTTCCAGATGACCGTCACAGACACAGCAGGCCAGAAGAGCTCTGACAACGTCTCTGTCACTGTGCTGGCGCCGAAACACCAAGCAGAAGGTGAACTGTTCACCAAAACATTTTATAATATGCTGGTGATATACTGAGAATCTTTTGGGTTGTTTATCTCAGCCATTTTAAATAGCAGCACTAATATAAACACTACTTTCACCATTTTCAAATAATAAAATCTGGGTTATTATGGTTACAGTGCAGGGCTGTTAGAAGATGTATAGCTGAACCTTTCTGTGTCCACAGTGTGTACAGGTGTCTGCTCAAAGTACCAGTTCAAGTGTGATGACGGTTGCTGTATTGACATCACCTACGCCTGTGATGGGAAGCAACACTGTTCTGACCGCTCTGATGAAGACTTCTGCCAAATCTGTAAGAAACCCTTGTTTTTTGTAACCAACATACAGTGTTTTCTACTCACTTGTATAATAAGGATCAGTTGAAAGAAAGCAAGAGTGAAGGAAAAACATAAGCAACATTCCACCATTCATTTGTTTGTCTGTGATTTCTTTAGTTGACAGCAGCAGGAAGTCAGTGACTCACAGCGCTGATCTGTCAAACTCTCATCGGCCTGTAGCCCAGACAGAGGAGGCAGAGGATGGCACCATGATCCACACTGCGCCCAGAAAGACCGTTCAGAACATCGTGCCACCTCAGGACAGGAGCAAGGCCGCTTCTCCACAAAGTCCCAGTCAGCAGGAGGCTTCAGTCAGTCAAGGTATGGTTCACGCTTAGATCTAGCATCTAATAACTGCACCAAAATACAGAAAATGTCGTTCTGCAGTGTGGTGATACAAACTAGAGTGGTTAGATGGGAATTTACAAGCATTTCTTTTACTTTAGCTGTATCTGTTAAAATGCTTCACAATATGATCCTCCATTACTGTGTCATTAGTGCAGTATCCCTTTGTAAAGAGGCACAGAGTGTTTTCAGTGTGTGTCCTGGACATAGAGGCAGATGGAGCCCCTGTAGGCAGCCATTGAGTCATAGGGCTGGGCTCAAAATGCTGGCGAAGAAGCCACAGGGCCACTCAGCATTCCCTGGGAAAGCAGCTCTTTGCCTGTGTCCCCTCTGAGTGCTGGAACAAAGCCCCTCTGTCCCCTTCGCCATCTGATCCCTGAATCAGGCTGAGACTGACCAAAAGGACTTCTCCCCCCATTCGGTATTCTACCGCAGGTATTTCATTCTCAGGAGACTTTTCTTCAGTTCACGAATGCTCAGTGTCAAGTCTGAAGGCTTGGCTAACTGAGGTGATACCTCATTGTTTAGGACAATAGCATCAAAAATACTGTTGATTGTGAGTGTTTTGATGAGATGCATTGACTCTGGTTGCTACTTCACATTATGATCTATCATTTAATCTACACTGTTGATTCTCGGTTCTTTTAGTTTTAGACTAGGCTTGGGTGGTATCATGTTATTATGATATACCAGGGTATTTAAAAAAATCCAGAGGGTATAATTTTCAGTACTGTCAAACATACAGATGCTCCTCTTTCTATTAAACTGATAAAGAAATGCTGTCTTAGGTGATGTATTGCAGTACACAGCACTGGCCACCAGAGGTCAGTCTCTACTGGTTGAAAAGGTAGCTGAGCTGAGAAAGATGGTGACTTGTGGGGATAACGGTACAGAACTGTAAACAGCTTATTCCGACCAAAGCAGAGTGGGAAAGTAAATGGCGAATGTCTAGCATTCTTTGGTTGATGACAACGTACAAAATTGTTGATGAATTTTCTCTTGTTCAACTAATAGTCCATGTAAAGCACTCTACATATGTGTAATATCAAATTGTCTGAAGGTGTGTCTGACTCTTTCTCTCTGTAGATCCATGTGCTGCAGCTCCAGTTGTCGGACCCTGTAAAGGCACCTTCCCACGCTGGTACTACGACCAAAATGCTGGAGAATGCAAACACTTCCTGTATGGCGGTTGCCAGGGCAACCATAACAACTTCCTCCAGGAATCTGACTGTGTCAGTGAATGTATACAAAAAAGTAAGACTCTGCTTCCGTCCATTTTTTTAAAAATCTAATTTTAAACTTGCAAGAAAAAAAAGAAAAAAACTACTATAAATTTGACCCTTCATTGAAATCTTTTAGGTCCAGCTTTCAAACCAGCAACTGTGGCTCCTCCCGTCACCAAACAGACTGAGATAGGTAAAGCCAGAGTGCATTTCAATAAAATGTTACTGACATACTAAGAAATTAACAGTTTCCAAGTCTAATATGTATTTGTACCTTTCTTTGAAGCTGCCCCTAAAGTCTCCCAGAGCCAAGCAGAGAGCAACGCCCCCATCTCCAAACCATTTCCTGTAAGAGGAGGGCATCCAGGACCAGAGTCAGGTGAGACCCAACAGGACAGTTTTGGCTTATATGTGCCTCTTGTTCTATTTATGTCATGTTCTTCCTAATTTTCTGTTGCCTGTTTCCTCCTCTAGGTGCGATCCTTCCTCTTGCTCTCGGCATAATCATCACCGCTCTGCTGCTGCTCATGATTGGCTGTCGTCTCAGACTGGTTCGACACAAGCTGAAGAAAGCTCGTCCCCTCACCACAGAAGAGTCAGATTACCTCATCAACGGCATGTACCTGTAGCCAATCAGCCAGGGTGGGGCAGCAAATTCAAGAGCGCTGAGATCTGAGAAAGAGCAACACGGGTGTTGACGCCAGAGCCTGAGCCAGGACTTTTTGAATTTGTACTCTTGATTTGTCCTGACTTCAAGTTGGAAACATCCCATCTCTCTGCTGTCATTGACATTTCTGAACATGCCCATACTGAACCCCTCTGACTGGTGAATCCACTGCTGAAAGATGCTGCCTTCAAAGCCACTGACACTCATATTCAGATGCTTGTGAATTCAGATTTACGTTGTTTTAAGATTATCTGATTGTGAATCCACGACGGTGGAGTCGACATTCCTGGTTCGATACTGATAAACAGCTGTATACATTCCCCCCACATGACTTCTGGGATACATACACTACAAGAGACTCTTTTGTCCTCTAATTAATATTATTCCTTAAACACAGGTTACTTTGATATCATTTAAGTTTTGCCAGTGATGTATTTTCCCGACTGCTGCACAAAAACATGTTGTATTTCTGCCACTAGGTGGCATGTTTGTGCTGTACATTTCAATTAAATAAAGGGCGGAAATGTAACACATCAGTGCACCTGTCATGGTGCACTTTTATGACTGATTAGGAATCAACAACAAATTACCAGTATTCATAGTTTCTCAGAAGCATATAAAGCCATAGCGAAATCTATTGCCCCAAATCTATTACTGTCTAAATTTTGTTGCATATTTTTCCTTATGAAGCAAACTTATGTGGAGTATCTATTATATTTGCGCACATGTATTCCCTTAAAGTGCTGTCTTTCATGTGAGATATTAAAGTTTATTATATATCAAAATATACTGGTGCAGTCTGTTGATAGTTGAAGTGATTAACAAGAAATGCAAACTACCTTTTTACATATCTTTATCACATAAATTACCACTGAAGATAGTGAGGTCATTAGTTGTTTGTTGTCAATGTTGTAGGGGGTTAAATTATAGGTTTTGTTTTATTCAAAGCTGATTGTCATATGTCCGTCTTAAATTTTCAACAGGTCAGAGGCCCTACCATGGATCAGACTTGGTTCTGGGGTACCAGTACGCCCACAAATGCTTGATTATATTGGGATCTGGGGAATTTGGAGGTCAGGTTGACACCTTGAACTCACATTCCTCTGGCTATTCCTGAACAGCTGTTTTAGTGTGGCAGGGTGCATTGTCCTGCTGGGGGGCCACTGCCATCAGGGAATGCTGTTGCCATGAGGGGCAACCCTAAACACTGTTGGGGCATCCACAGGAATGTCAGGACCCAAGGTTTCCCAGCAGAACACTGCATCGTAACAACATTATCACTTTTATCCTTTTCATCTATTAGTGGTTTGAATGTTGTGTCTGCTACTGTAGGTGTGTATCTAACAATGGGCTGCAGCCTGCACACAAAAGATTCAACAACAAAAGGCAGACAAAAACATAAGCATCTCTTTATTTTCATGTGCCATTCCAGAAACTGTGAAAGCCAAGTATCTTCCATCACTCCAAAATAAAATGTACTTTTTGATTTCAAGAAAACAGACATTCATTTGCTTTATATTGTTGGAGTTTATTTTGGCAAAGCAGTGACTATCTCACTTAGCATCAGTCACTAGAAGAGCCTGCGCGAATTGTTAATGGAAAAAAAAAGAGTGGCAGAAAGCAACACATCACCAGGTGTAAAAAGCACAGCCCTGCATGTGCACGTGTGTCGGTGTTATTAGTGCTTGGCTCTCTTTGGAGTATGCTCAGTATGATCCAATGCGCTGCTTATTCTATGTGTAGAATGATGTAAGAGTGCTGCACATCGAACGGGATGTGGGGGTAACATCAGCCAGTGTGTTGCCTGCGTGTGTGTGTGTGTGTGTGTGTGTTCCTAACACTGCTGGCAGGGGGGGGAAAAGCTCATGTTAGCAGAGAAGTCTACAGTTAGATGATCCACACACACACACGCTGTAGCTAGGTGAATAATCTAAAAACTGTCAGGCTTTCCTCGTCATTGTCCGGCATTCCTCTTACATTCAGCTTGGATGGTGCTGAAATGTAACACTGTAAAAATGGCTGATTGCAATTCATATGGTAAAACCACAAAAAAAACCTAAAATCCAGCAGTTTAAAATACACAACCAAAAGATGCAGGCCTGGAAAGAAAAACGAAACCACCCTCTCCGATATTTCTGTGCTGAGCTTGAAGCAGTCTCTCTTCCCTGCCCCTCTGGGCTGTCATCAATGTGATACTCTAGTCCATCGTTAGACTTTAACAAAAAAAAAAAAAACACAGAGCATGTTTTGTTATGCTTTGAACAGAATGCCATGGGCTGTCTGACCCCATCCAAGCTTCTCCAGGTTCAAACTTAAAGGTGGATAATGGACTGTCTTCCTCTTCAAAGTTCATCCCTGTGACAAAGAAGTCAAATGTTAGAAAAGGCAGAAGAGAAAAAGAGCGGCATGCAAGAAACAACTATCCTCCTGTCATGCAAACACAAAGAGTTAGAATAACATGCAAAAATGTTAAGATCACAGGAAAATGCACACAGTTACTGGTTGTTGTCTACATCTCACAGAGAAGAAGATCAAACTAAATAGCTGGTAAGTTTGGTTTTAATGGCCTACGTGCATCCAAATTGACAAAGAAGTCATGCTCTGGAAAACCAAGCCAGTGCTAGTTCAGTCTCTTCGGTGTTTGGGCTCCAAAACAACTTCAGATTTCATCAGCCAGGCGGGTTTGTTTGAATCAATTTGGAACTGCGGTGTTAAAGAAAAGTGATGAAGGAAACGTGCAGCTAGTTTCGTATGGTTTGGAAGAAGCAAAAAATGTCAACAAGCAGCAAAATGCAGCCCCTTGTGATCCATTGCCTGCTCCAAGCCACACCATTTCACCTTTGCCACTGTGAGAAGGAGAGAGGGGGGAGGAAGGGGAGAAGGAAGTCACTTCCACCTGGAACACTGCGCCTCTTTGTCTGTTAAAGGCACATAAATCACCCCCATCAAGGCCTTCATTTTGGTGCTGCCGTCCTCCATCTTATCATACTGCTCAAGCATCTGGTTTCCTCCGGCCGGGCCGACGGGCAGGATCAGTCGGCCGCCAGGCTTCAACTGGTCCAGAAGCTGGGAGACAAACAAGGTACATGTACTGTGTCAGAGGCATGGTGACACAAAAGAGCAAAGCAGCGTGCGTTTAAAGGCATTCCAAGATTGATAATTTAATCCTGTTGGAAACATAACATTTTATTACATTTGGGGAAATCAAATTATTTGTTTTTAAATCGAATTGGGACAATGTGACCTCGATCATCTGCACCAGGGAAGTAGTCAGAGAAACTCACAGCTTGGGGGACATTAGGTGCTGCTGCGCCAACATGGATGGCATCATAAGGCGCTTCCTCGTTGTGCCCCATTCGCCCGTCTCCCACTGAAACACACACACACACAGTCACTTCATCATAATGTGCTTTTACCTTTATACTATACGGGAAACTCTTCTTAAAGTCTGTATCTGATGATGCTTTCCATTACTGATTAACCCACTGATCATGTTTTCAATTAGCTAGTTAATTTATTTGTCTAATAAACATCACAGATACAGGTAATTTCCCATCATACTTTAGTTACCAGAGCCCAAAGACATGAAGCTGGGTCATACAGACAAAGATATTGTCACTCAATACGCTGATACTTTATCGGGAAGGTGAAAATACTTTGAGGATGGCATTTTGTTTCTTTAACAATTAGCATTAACCCCTCTGAAAATGTATACGTTTACAAGTTATGTCTTAAAGGTTCAGTGTGTAGGATTTTAGGACATCTGTCGGCAGAAATGGTATTCGTTTATAATCACCTGAAACTACGAATCGTTAAGTTTTCGTTACGTAAGAATGAGCGCTCATTTAAGCTCAACTTAAGATACGCAGACAGAGAAGGACGGAGCCTTCTGTCCCTACGTTGTGTTCATTGTTTTCTATATTTGTGCACGTTTTCTGAAAGCTTACGATTCAGACAAAACGGAGCAGTGCTATCAGAGATCGTGGAGGCAGTGGAGTATAGTTAAAGCACAATACAACTGTAGGAGACAATAAAGACATTTAAATAATGGCGGAACTGAAGGAATTGGTAATATAGTGACAAGTGTTCTCCGCCCACATGTCGGGATGTGTCTACAATGCTGCCTGTTTAACGGAACAAAGTTTACGACCTCCTCCAGTGTCGCCTCGTTTGCTGTTGTGTGAAACTTTAGACTCTGCCCTCTATTTTCTATAATGTTTTCAATTCAATAATCTCTACTGGCATGACATTTCTTATGTGTTGGACACAGCCTGTCTTCTCTAGGCAGTCAGGTCTGCCTGTGTCTGCCAGTCTCTATGTCCAAGCTGTGATCACTGAGTCTGTACATAGTCAGCACCTGTCTCAGTTTCTGATCTGTCACTGCTGTCAGATAGTTTGCCATCACATACTGTCTGTTTAGGGCCAAATAGCATTTGTTTTGGGTTTTTGTGGTCCCATGACTGATGCAGTTTTCTTTTTCTTTAGCTAAAATTTGGTTGGGCTGGATTGTGTGAGGGTTGTCCTGAGGGCTTGTGCTGTTAGAGGACACATGGAAGTATGAAGGTTTGTGAGGTTTACAACATTTGAAACAGACATATCTATTTTTGTATGTAAAGGGAGCATAGTCTTGACCTGTTGATATTTACATCGGCCATGTTGTTCTACAGTAGCCCAGAACAGACAAATCAAACACCTCCTCCAGATATTGCTCCATTTGTGTTTTCTTGTTGTTGACTGACTAAACTGAGACATAAGATGACAGGAAAAAAATACTGGACCTAAAATAAACAGCCGCGTTTGCAACAATCTGACAAAACGCTGTAGTTGCAGTATGTCCTTAATGAACAAAAAGGAAAGGTCGACTGTCTACTATTTTTTATCACCTAGTTCTATCAGCACCACCGCCCTCCTGCAGAGTAAGTGAAAGTAGGTGCTCGCTGCTCAATTATTTAGTGCTGCACAACCCCGTCAACTGAGCTACTGTAGGTCTGGTTCCCCACCAAAGAGAGGACAGCAAAGACGAAGGAGCATTACACTGCGCTTTGTTTTGAGAGGAAGAGTCAGCTGAAATTTCTGCAAATCATTTCCAACAAATACTAAACGCCTGTTACCTTCAATCAATGAAATCTTACCTATTAGCTTGACTCTGCCTGATGTTATCAAACTGGGATCATCTTTCTTCACATTGGTTATAGATTCGTCTACCAGCTCTTTGATGTGATCAATTCCTATAACTTTCCCTTTAGGACCGACCTGTGGAGCGCAGAGGGAAGGTGCTTGGGTCACGCAACATCATCACAACATCTCATTTCACGTCGATTGGTTGACAGGCTAATTCATCTAAAAGTTCAAATCAATCAGAATGCCGCTAAAGAGAAATTGTGTGTTTACCCGTCATGTGTGGCTCACCATTCGTGCGAAGCAAGCCGACAGGATCCCACTGCCGGAGCCGACATCCAGGGCTTTGGCTCCCTCATACAGCTGGTCATGTAGAAGCTCCAGGGCATAGGCGTGCTGGGTGGAGGGAGGGGACGCCGACAAGAAAACTGCATTACAAACCATACCAGTCAGCATTTATATTGCATCTAACACCGGCTGTGGTGAGGTGAAGTCCTGCCAGTACATCTGTGGGGCACAGCTAGATGACCAATTTGTGTCTGTCTGTGACTGTTATCATTCTTCAGTTTGTATTAGAAAGATGTGACAAGCTCACAGTCAACAGAAATACATGAAATTGCTGCCATTGTAATCCACTAAAGATAGATGATAAGGTTTGATTTGAAAGGGGAGGACAATTTGTATTTCTCTGACTGCTTCTCTTTGTTATCTATTGAATGGCTGAATGAGAGCAAGCTTTATAAAAATGCAGAAATATCTGAGAGTGTTTTAAAGTCATACCATGTGTGGGGCGCTGATGGTTGCTTGATAGCCTTTTGGTTAAAAGAGAGATTTCGTTAGTTGGTTCCTCTGATATCAGACTGCATTTGAATTCCAGACTGTGCTGCCATGCATGAGTGAATACGTGAGCAGACGTACCTATTGACTGTGGAGAGTCCATGTACGGATTACACCTAGAGAAATGGGCTCGGTCTGTGGCCAGCATGACTTCATAGACCTTGTCGGACTTAATAATGCCATTTTCTGGGGATGCAAAAGAGTATGTGTCACTGTGTGTGAGATGGAAACGTGAGCAAACACCAGGCAGGAATATATTACACAATCTTGCAGCAGATGTAAAAAGAAATACATAAAAGAAAAATAACATAAAGGCAAAGACAGGGAGAATTCTGGGATATTAGGCATTACACAAACAGTTACTATAATTGGTACGTTTGGGGTGTGTGACATGATGCAATTTAGCATGATAATTTGTCAACCAGCCAAACTGATATCTATCTCTTTATAACTCTCTGTGTATTAGACCATTGTGGGCAATCTTCTGAATCAATGAGCAGGACTGCTTTGTTAGGGATGCACCGATTATGATCCTGAGCCTATTGGTACTAAGATGCAAGTTTTTCTTTGTAAAGGTTAGCATATCTGTTTCTCTTCTCATTCAAGATGTTTACTGAACGTGAGAACAAACCAGACGTGTGCACGGCACCTGTTGCCTTCTTACGTCATAAAGGAATTCAACTCGTGATTTCTTCTCCAAAACAGCAGCTGGATATGCTAGCTACTTTTGTCAAAATCCAACTACAAAAAACCGACACATAGGCTTGGGCAGTATCATGGTGTTACACGATACCGTAGTATTTAGAAATCCTGATAGTATGATTTTCGATACCGTCAAGAGCATATGCTCATCTTTCAATTAAACTCAGACGGAGAGGCTGTGTTGATGATGTATTGCATGCAGTGCACATGACGTGCCACAAGAAGTCAGTTATCTACTGGTGGAACAGGCAGCAGAACTGAGAGACAACTGTGAGTGATGGGGATAACGTTACAGGACTGTAAACAGCAGGAAAAACAGCTTATTTTCACATCTAGGTAGCGCCACACACTAACATCATCATGTAGCCTACAGTCTATCCCAGTAAACGTCAGGAAGGTGTAACAGTATGAAACAATACATGCCGCCTGAGCCTACTAACACAGCATTTAACTAGTGCATAACTAATAACTAATGACATCAGAGATAAACGTCAGCCACTGCTATTGGTTAATGCAATCTTAGATGATGCCAGCCAACAAGACAAATATCGGCCAGTTCGCCAGTGAATCGGTGCATCTCTAATTTTTGTCACTGTGATTATGATAATTCATTGGATTACCCAGAAACAGGCATTTCTTTCTGATGTTTAAACTTGTAACAATTTCTTAATTGATTTTTCAGAAAGTGAATTATATCCGCTGATATGTATTGATAACGTGATAGAGGATTTTATCCATATCATCCTCTCTATGGTTAAGGTTAGGGCTGCATAACGTGCAAAAAAATTATATTGCAATTATTTTGACAAATACTGTGATTGCAATATGAGTCACGATTTTAGTGGGAGTGGTCATTTTTACATTTTATTTTCACAAAAAAATATATGAAAAAAATTCTGTACCAAACAAGCCCATTCCCTTATGTATGGAGTATGATTTGTAGGTCGGGGCACATTTGTTGCACCACAAAGATTCATTTATAAGAGTATGTTGTGACACATTTTACCTTCATCAAAAAAAATACAGCTCCTGCAATTTGGATGTTGTGTTTGGCAATATTGTGATTTCAATAATATGCTGGTTAATTGTGCAGCTCTAGTAATGGTGCATATTAAAAGGAGAATAAAAAGAACTGTAATAACCTGTATTAACTGTAGTGTATATACAGGGAGAGCAGTAAAAAACACCGAGAAAAAGAGGAATAAAAAAAAATCTAAAAATATATGCATGAAAATTAAGTTGCTAATCACAATATGTCCTGTATCAAAAACTGAGAATATCAGAAGATGCAGGACAAACTGAAGTCAGCAGCACACAGGCAGGAGGCTTACAGCAAAGTGTCAAAGTTCATAGACATGTGGTGGAGGAAACTAAAAAAGCAGAGTTAGTCTAACATTCAAGATGTAATCAGCAATCTGTTGTATCATCTGTAAATGGTAGACGATGTTGCATGAAAAAAAAGGTGATAAAAAAAGCTCCCTGAAGAAGTGTTAGTGTCTTCAGAATAATGCTCCCTAACAGGTTTCTGTAGCAGCTGGTGCCAACGGCAGGAAAAGCCAACGACAGCCGGCGCTGCTCTCATTACATCGTCAGAGCTATGTGCCGCTTTAGGGATACATTACAAATAAACCATACAGGCTGCCAGATGGACACCTACTAGTGATTTCGGAAATTAAAATAACCCATACTTGGGGCACTGGTGGTTTAGTGGGTAGAGCAGGCGCCCCATGTACAAAGCTGTTGCCGCAGCGGCCCAGGTTCGAGTCCAGCCCGTGGCCCTTTGCTGCATGTCACTCCCCCTCTCTCACCCCCTTTCACACTCATCTGTCCTGTCAATTAAAGGCTAAAATGCCCCAAAAAATATCTTTAAAAAAAAAATAACCCATACTGGCAGATTTCAAGCTGTTTTTTCCTATTCAAAGTATTTCTTAGAATTAAAAGTTGTCCGTGCAAGCCCCCAGGTGAAGCCAAATAACTGTAGGTTGTTTTTTCAGGCTTTAAATCCACTCAATACATTTTGGAGGCACATGAAATTTTCCTCCATCACAAAACAACTGAGTGCTGATCTTTAAGAATTCATGAGGCAGTCAAGGTTTTAAAAAATGCAACCGGGTGACCTGTTACTGCCTGTACTGACCAGTACTGAGCACTGGTCAGGAGGACACAAACAATAAACAAAAAAAAAAAAAAGTTGTGAATTAGCATGCATCCTGAGTGTGACCTGCTTAAATCCAGTTCATGCAAACTAAGGATTAAATGTGAGATATTCCTGCGTCTCAACAGGTCAGTGTCCAGGGAAGAGTTCAATCAGGAGCAGAAAACTGAAGTAATAACCACTTACAGAGCAAATAGAAAATTTGCAACAATGAAAAACTATATAGTCGCCGGTTGAAGGTTTTAAGTTGAAATCTTAAGCTAGAAAAAAATGCATTTGCATAATTGGCAGACATCATAAAGGGATGCTGCTGGAATTGGCTGAAAAGGCTTTTGGTGAAAGACTAATTTACTTCTTGTGGATTTCCAGCATTTTATTATCCTGCATGACAGAGCTGGTTTCAACTTCCTTATATCCTTTTTTTCCCACCATGCACAATTGCAACATATGGTCAAAAAAAAAACTGAGACATTGAATCATATCTGCTAAGTGAGATAAAGAAAGGAGGATATGCAAATAAAGCCTTACGTTTAAAAAAGGCAAATGAGCATGACTGACCACTGCCCTCAATCTATGCCGCTTTTGGCAAAACACTTGCAGCCGGACTATCTGTTGCAATGCTCTGCTGGACTGCACAGAATATTAATAGCCCTGGTAGATACTTTATACTGAATGTGGACATGCACATTCAAGCCTGTGGATATCATCAGATCATTTTTGCTATATGCAAGCTATCATGTCAGAACACAGCTTGAACCTGGGCACAGTAGCTATCACCCACTGAGTTTCCCTCTTCACCACACAATGCACAGTCATCTGACTGCAGAATAAACCATGTGGCACTGATGGCATCGATCATAGTGGACTTAGCACCAGATAGCAGCGGTCTAGCAGAGTGGCACACTGAGTCACTGCTCTGCTTTTTTTGCAGAGCAACGACTAACTGCTGCTGTGACACAGCATGCTGCCATTTTCAATCACCCACGAACAAAAGCAGTGCAGAAACTAGCCTTACGTTTACAGCTGCCAGTGTCATTCATGTAAAAGTAAAGTGAACTGCACAGAGACAGCTGGCCACGAACGGATGGTCAGAACTACAGCCTGCCCTCCATTCAAGATTTATACTCCTCTATAGTCAGGAAACAGACAAGTAACCTCACTGTAGACCATCACACCCTGGACACACACACCCTAATCTAACTCCCCCCACCTGCCATCACTCTAATGAACAGTTAAATCAGTCATACACTGTCAATAACCCTTTAACACCAATGCACCACATTTTACATGTACATATTATCTGTCACTCCCAATATGAATCCTGCAAACTCTCTATACATGTATAACCGCACATAGTCCATGTATATCAATTGAGTACTTATTTTACTGGACTATATGCATAATATACAACTTATAGACACACTTAACTTGTATACAGACGTTTTACTTGTATTGTTGGTCATTGGATATACACCTATTGTCACATACTTGTGCTCATAGTAGTGCTGCCCATGTTTTACTTTTATTTATCCAGCTTTGTTGCCCTTATTTTTAGCTTTTATTAGTATTTATGAGTAAGTTAATTTAGAGAAATGCAAACAAACAGAAAACGGAGTCAAATTTCTCGTATATGTACAAATACCTGGTCAATGAAGGTGAATGTGATTCTAATCAATGAATGTGGGCAGGGCAGTTAGCATCGCTGCTAACGCTAGCTACAACGTCCCAAATGACGCACATAGAGCTAGCAGGCTAAGCTAACCTCACACAAAACTGAAACTGCACAAATTATCTGTGCCTATTAGGTAATGTATGTCTGTATTGTTAGTTTAGTTTTTCGAAGCGGCACGAGCGGCATGTATCAGCTCCACGGCGTAAACGTGGTTCGGGAGAGGGGTGGAGAGAGGTAACGCTGGGTCAACAACAACATACAACATAGCTTAGCAACCAGCAGCTAGCTCCTGTGTTCAAACCGTAGCCTCCAAACTAAAACCGTTATCGGGCGTCGCGCGTGCGAAGGCGTCGGTGCTGCTGCAGTAGAAAACGTTAGGACTTACTGCGGAGGTTGTTAACAAGCTCTGCGTGGCTGGCTCCTCCAGATTTCCAGGCCATTATTAAACACACTTTGCGGAGTAAGTAGACAGCAGCTGTCAGTGCCGCGCCTGCGCCAAATGTTTTGCCGATGAAGCTGACGACCTCCAGAGCAGACGGCGGAGCAGCAGACACGTCACGAGGCATCCGAAATTATTTCACTGCGGGGCGGCTTTTATTACACGCACCCCGATACAGAACAGTGACATTTTTCTTAATCAAATTATTAATGTTTTCTTGAAATATAAGCCTCAGCTTGGGTTAATTTCACAGGGGAAAAGCCACATCGCTCACTCAGTGCGTTATCAGATTTGCCGCAGTAACATAGACGGTGGCCGGTAGGTGGAGTGCGACACTTGCTAACCCGTGGGCAGGACTACTATGTACATATGTGCAAAAATAACTGCACATATTAATATTACATATATAAAGCAGCAGTAACCATCAATAGAAATAAAACGTCTATGTATAAATATTCTGTAGCCTGCGAACTAAGGTGACGTCATGGAGTATGACATCTTGAGCTCTTTAAATATTAGCAGCTAGTAAACAGACATGACATCACTGTTACTACAAATGTGCTTTACATGTTACAATCATTGTTACTGGTCTGCGACAAAAAGTATGCGCAGAGCAAAGGGTCAAATAATAATAATGAGTACTGCAGCTATGACAAGTAGGGTATAACAACAAAAATGGTTATGTTGCATTTTATTAAATGATTGAAATGATTAACTATTTTCACAATACATTTTACTTTTTATGAGAAAGGGTTTTGACTGAATACTTAATGCATTCAGGTCAAATGGTACATATTTCGGAAGTGAAACCAGCATGTTTGTAGGCTACCAGGTGCCATGAAATCATGAGTCATGCTCATGTGTGCCACCCTTTGAGTCCAAAACAAATTTCCCTATGGGACAATAAAGTATACCTTACCTTACCTTATATTAATGATTTAATGAATTAATGACTGAACTGATGATGGATTTAACCATTTAAAAAACAAACATGACTGCCCCATTTTACCTGGGGGGTATTCCAGAAAGCGGGTTATGTGAAAACTCAGAGTAAGTTAACCTTGAGATGAGGGAAACTCTGAGTTATCCGTTCCAGAAAGAGAGGTAACTGAAACTCTGAGTCAATCACCATGGTAACAGACTCTGTGAACATAACCTGCTCGCTGGCAGGTTTTCTTCAATAAACCCTGAGTTTTTCTCTGTCTCCTCCCTCTTACACGCTGTTTCATTTCCTCATTCATTCAGTCCGTGTCAAAGCTTGTATCGAAGCGCATTAATTAGCGGATATTTACCGTCTGTCACAGTCTAAACCCTGCTGGATATTAGTTTGTTACTCAGGACTGTCTTAAGTTACTGAATTTATGCACATCAATCATTTCTTTGGACATCGGTTTTTGTCTTAACATTCAAATATTACACAGCGAGAATTCATCCTCAGCTCAGAATCAATCCTCTGTCCTTTTGATATTTATTATTTTTTGTAACACTGTGCACAAGGATCAGACTGTTGGTCTGTTAGAGCAGCTCCCAAATGTTTATTGCACATAATGTGTAGGTCTAATTATTTAAATTTTAAAAATCGCTATGAAGCTTTAGACACGTAGTATCAATGACTAATGATCTCTATCACTGATGTCATTGGTCGCACTGATGGAACATAATTCCTATAGCCTAATATTGGGGATTATATGTTAATATTTATGAGTGAGCAATGGTGCAGCATTTCAGTGTCTTTAAATTTACTACATTTGTAGCTGAAATAAAGTCACTGAATGCTGTTGAGTCAAGATACAAATAGATGTGCAACATTTTAAAATCCTACTGTATTTTAACCTCAACGTCTTTAAGTGCAAACCACCAAACATATTATTACTGGGTCAGACTGTGAGTTTACAGTCATGTCTTTATGTCTTTGATCTATAGCCTAGCTTATATGTTTTAAATCTTCCTGTTTTTCAGTTGCTGTCTCCTGTGTTTTTCCCCATCAGATTAAATCTGAACAAATATATTATTGTATATAATTAATATAACGTAATGTAGGCCTATCTACAGCCTGATACACAGTCAGATTCCACCACTTTATCATCATTAAGGACATGTAAATCTGATAAATGATGAATAAAAGGACAACACTGAATAAAACTTTTTTATTAACTTTATGGTTAACTTATTTACTCTTCTTTTAAAGATAAACGTGCACCGTCTGCTACACATGCATTAATATTTCTACATCCACTGGATTAAAATGGAGGCGCTGTCTTTTATTTACCTGTTGCCATGGTGAATCGTGGAGTCGGAGCTCCATTGATGATGGCTTTTTATTGTCGGTTTAACTCAGAGTGAACATACTCAGAGTTGACAACTAATTCAGATCAGCTGTTCTGGAACCGGATACTCAGAGTTTCCCATCTCAGAGTAAGTCAACTCAGAGTTCAGGGATAGACTCAGAGTTTGTTGAACCTCCTACCTGGAATACCCCTCTGAACATGTCATCAGAGTGAGGCAGAGGTTTTCCATGTGTTCAAAGTTTATGAAATATTTTACTTGGCATATTTCCTGTATATAAATTTAGCAGAGAACTCTAACAAGTTGTAAAGTAACACTTAATCTTTAGAGTTTTAAGTGGTTTTCTTGGTAATCTACCAAAAAGTCTCCCTGACTTCAACCTACACAAATAGTTCTAAGAAATAAGTACTGAATATATACATGGACTGGATGATTATGTACAGCATGTGTATATACATTATACTGTATATAAAACTTGTGGGATTTATATTGGCAGTGACAGATGATATTGTTTGTCTACATATTGAAATTGGTGCATTAAAAACTGTAAAAGTATAATTTATAGTGTGAGAAGTAGGTGTTTTGGTGTTGCAGGAAAACATAATAGCATAATACAAATTTGGTGTGCAGGGGATAGTACACAAATACAATTACAAAAAATCCAGGGGTATGTCACATCAGAGAAAAAATATATAATAAAACATACAGATATTGAGTGTCTTGGCAGCCGTTTTGTCGAATTAGAGAATAGTTTTACTTTTAAATATTGCTTCACATCCTTCAAGAAAACAACAAAAAACGTTTTTGTAGCAAAATTTACATTTATGAGTAAAAACATTTTCCAACATCATCATCAAATATATTATAAAAATATTAGTTTACTTGACTTGGGGTGTTAGAAAAGACCAAACATCACATTTCCCATAGTAATGTAAAGTCTTTGCAAAGGTCTTTCCAGAATCTCTTGGTATGAGAACAGTGCCAAAATAGGTGTTAACTTTTGTTGCGTATTAATTATAAAAAGAACAGTTTATGTTAAATACAATAAAACACATTTCAGTCATTTTTATTATTTAGGTAATATATTCTCTGTAGTAGTGATGGGTTGTTTATGGAGAGAAATGCCAAGAAAATGTGACCAAATCAACATGAAAAACAAACACTACAACAGAACATAAAAGCAATAAAACCCTATTTTAATAATAGTATAATAATACTGTGTAATAAAATAATGTTTCATGACAAGAAAGCCTATGGACTTGTGTAAAAAAAAAAAAAAGAAAAATACAAAAAAAGTTATTTGGGGAAATATTTTGTTTGTCATTAGCATCTCATCTTATATCAAGTTTACCTTTTTAATTCAACATACGCAATAAAATAGATTCATTGTGATGGTTTGGGTTTTTTAAAAACTTTTTTATTATTATTTATTTATTATTAATGTGTTTATTTTTCAGTCTTTGGTAAAGAATTCAAACACGGCTCAAATCTGACCCTCAAACACTACAGGTGTAGCTATCTAAACCCTTCTCTATGAAGGTTAATGGTAAACGGTCGCCCGATAACAAAGTTTGACCTCGCGGGGCCACCGTAGTTACGTACAAAGTAGCAGGCGCGTAAGCTCCTGCTTTCCCTATGAATGCTAAGCTAACACCGGCAGTAGTTATTTTAATTTAAAGCGTGTGAGACTGTCTCTGTTTCAATGGAGAGTATAAACGCTAAGTACGTGTCCCAGAAAATCAGTAAGACCAGATGGAGACCAGTATCACACTCGTCTCTGCAGCAACCAGATATCTTTGCGACTGGCTCGTGGGATAACGAGGTGGGCAAGTTGTCAGTTAATGTCATAAACGTTACACTAATACGAACCAAACCTCATCGAAAAAAGTATGAATTGTTTGTAGTTTTGCTTATCGGCGGGCTTACACGTATTGTAACTTTCAGTACACGACTTGACAAGTGTTATTAATAGTAAGGTGTCATTTCGGCAAGCAGCCAGTGCATGAACAAATTAGATATTTGCTGTAGGGATGTCATGTTAAAGTAATATATTTATTAATAAAGCATAAAGCCTGAGCTACATGTCTGCTGATTCCCACCAGATCGAGAGACTAATATTTGATTAAAGATGTGTGGTTATAGAACTAACTGTTAGTTCGATCGTATTCTGCTTATGTCTTCTTTGATTCACATTGTTCTGATTAAAACGAGTTCAGATTGGGCCTACTTCACCCTTGGTGTGTCTCTTACAGGACAACAAGATTTCCTTTTGGTCCATTGGGAATCATGGAAGTTCTGGTATGGATGATGGATTTGAAGGAGACCCACAGCTTTTATGTGAACACAAGCATGATGGAGATGTTCTGGACCTACAAGTAAGACACTCAATGGGAATCCAAACCAATCTCCCAGCATATATGTGCTACTGAAGTAAAGCATATTAAAGTTTCTTCAGCTGTGCCTGTGATTTAAAATGGGCACTTGTAATTTAGGATTACACTGAACAAAATCATACTAAATTTGGTGCCTTGTTTTTATAATAGTACAAAATGATCAAATGAATTGTTCACTTTGATTGTATTTGTTGCACAGAACAAATTGAATGCATAGTACTTACATTTGTGTGCCAGAACAACATGATCTTATATTAAGAGTTATAAATATCAGATAAATATACTTCCTGTATAACATCAGGGCTGATTTCACCTCATTTTGTTTTTACAGTTTTTGGACCAAGACAGAATTGTCACAACATCATCAACTGGAGCAGTCACCATCTTCCGCCACCATCAAAACAATCAGGTACACACTGGCCGAGTTATGTCTTTCAGATCCACACATTTCACATACAGTAAGCTAAACCAGTCCAGATACAAATACAGCAAATACAGCTATTACTTTCACTTTGGCTGGCAAGCATGTTCACAAACACTCTGCATACTATACCTTTAATTCTGACTAGAAAGACTTTTGACTGTCTCTTGTCTAGAAATAACTGGGAGGTAGACTTGCTTAGCTTAACTATTGCCTTGTATTTCTGTGGCCATCTGCCTTTTGTGAAAAGCTTATAAGAGTTACAGATCATTATGTCCTCAGTTAAGTTATTTATTACTTTATAAGCCTTATATAACATGACTAAAGTCACAACAACAAACTAGAGAGTAGCTGCACAAATATGTTGCAGTTCAAGGAAGTGAATGTTGGACAAATGGCTCAACTGGATATATAACATACTTGTGGTTTGGTAAATATTCTAATTCTTAATTGTCTTCTGCCTTGACTGCAGACAATATCAGTTTCTCAGCGCTGGCCGAGAGCGCATCGTTACCCTTGTGACAAAGCTCCCTGCACCGGTGTTGTGTGCAGCAGTCCTGAGATCGTTACAGTGGGTGAAGATGGCAAGATCATCGTCTTTAGAGCCGACCAGGAGGGAGTGATTCGAGTCATAGGTGAGCTTAAAATTTAGCTATCATGTCGCATTAACACACGCATAAAAGTACAGTTCTTGGTATATAATAGCATCTCCAGGTCAAGTGAGTTGAAAAGTATAATGTGACTAACGTGTTTATTTGTTTGTTTGTTTAACCATTGCTAGAGAATGCAGACAGCAGTACAATTCATGCTGTGACTTACCTGAGGACAACAGAGATCTTGACAGTGAACTCTATCGGCCAGCTCAAGCTGTGGGACCTCAGACAACAGAGCAACTCACCGTCCCAGATTCTCTCCCTGTAAGTTCTCCTAACATTAACGTTTCGAAACAGTGTTTATTTTTCTATTCTGCTCTTTGCTTGGTGCATTTTATATCTTAAAATTGTTTTATTCTCAGGTCAGGCGATAGAGTCCCTCTGCACTGTGTGGACAGACATCCCAACCAACAACACATTGTGGCCACAGGAAGCCAGGACGGCATGCTCTGTGTCTGGGATGTGAGACAAGGCAACACACCCTTCTCAATGATGGAGGCACACTCTGCTGAAAGTAAGATGTTATTGTGGGCAGATGAATCACTTTACCAATTAATCCTGACGTGGTCATTTAAAGGAAGATTTATATTTCTCTTTAGCAATGCTTGGTTTTCTAAATGTCTTTCTTTGTCTTTCTGTACAGTGTGGGAAGTCCACTTTCACCCAACCAACCCAGATCATCTGTTCACATGCTCAGAGGACGGTTCACTGCTGCACTGGGAGACCTTGAGACATTCAGACATGCCCTCCTTCTTACAAGGCAAGTGAGATGACTCTGTCTGTTATTCAGTTTAGTCAGCAGGAAAATGACAAACACTGTTTTAAAAAAAATGCTAGATGCAGCCAATAAACAGCATTTTACTGGAAAAAGAGACATAGTATAAAAGCAAATTTTTACCATCATACACTGACATTGTTCACCAGTTGTATAATGAAATGCAGGCTGATGGGAAATATGATGCATCTGGTCACCTAGAGCCCCTCTAGAATCATTCCTGGTCTTTCTTTCAAGGTTCTGACATGATGCTTGCATGCAGTGTTGTTAGACTGCGCTAAAGTGTGTCTGAAATTATTCTGTTTCTAATAGAGTGCTGCAGTGATGATGTTTTTTTGTAGGCCAGCCTGGTAGTTAATGTCACCCTGGTTCCCTTGACAAAAGCCTGCAGAAAATAAGAACACCAGTTTTATGATGTTTGAAGCCTAAATGCAATCACCAGAAGTAAAATGCTAAGGTTAGGCTATCAACAAATTACACAACAGTTGCTGTCTTCAATGTCGCCACTACAGCGAGGCTGGAAAGCCATGTTCAGCATGATGATGGTCTGTAGGCGCATTTAGCCACTTGTTGGCAGTCATCTTTTTAAGGTCCATTAAAGCTTCAAAGTTCACAAGTGAGGTATTTACTGATGTATTTTATGTGTTGATCACAAACAAAACCCATTAAAAAACCTATTGACAATGAGACATGGTATCCAGAGGTGCAAAAATGCTAACTCATTCGGTGGTTTTAGAAATAATTCCTACAGCATCCCATTTGAAATAGATTAAATACAATGAACATATTTGGATGGTTATATCTGTTAAAGCGATAATGTTTAAAATATTGACATAATTTTAGAAATTCAGTGGTGGAATTTAATTAGGTACATTTACTGAAGTACTGTACTCAGAGGTCCAGTGTGTAGGATTTAGGGGCATCACTTGGTAGAAATGGTATATATTATTTACAACTACATTTTTATTAGTTCATTATCACCTGAAAAGAATTGAAAATGTTTTTAGATGTTTAGCCAAAACACATTTCTCAAATAAAGACAGTCCAATTCTCCCATTTTCTGAGGAATATTGCTCCTTCAGAGAAAAAGTAATTTTTTCTCCTTGATTATGTCCATCCATTGTTTAAAGCTTGGAGGCTCAGGGCCTTGACATAAATAGGTATTTCCTTTTTTATAATTGAACATATATTTCTCCAAATATTTGATTTTGGACACGTCCAAAAAATGTGGGAGTGATTGGCATTCATGTGTCTGCACGTTCTCCAGCACTGCTGTTGTGACTGGAATAGTTTTCCTTTTAATGTGAGGATTGACAAAGAAGCTGATCAAGTTCTTCCAGGCAAATTCTCTCCATTTCTTGGAGCTTGTAGATGAGTGTTGTGTTTTCCACAGTGAACGCCAGTCTTCCTGAGATATGTCTCATTCTTTTTCAAATTGGGGTTTTTGTTACCTTAGAATGAGCCATTTATAAATACATACAGTGCAGGTCCTCTTCCACAGAGTCCGCAGTGTTTCTACAGTAGCTCAGAACGGACAAACCAAACACTGGCTCTAAGTAGGGCCACTCACGTTTTTTCGTTGGCCACTATAGTTCTCCTACACGCTTGACACACAGGAGAAGTTTCAGTTCTGCAACCTCACCACTAAATGCCTCTAAATCCTACACACTGGAGCTTTAAGTACAATTGTAAGATGTTAATATGTTAGTATTTCCAGTTCAGGCTGTCAGGAGTGACCTCTGGCCTCCTAAAACCCTGACGCAGTTATCAGATTTTATCTGCAAAAAGCTGCATCAAGAGTTGAAAATTGTACATGACAGCACAGTCATATGATAGAAACTGTAATCTTAATTATAGGGTATGTATGTATGTAATATGTCAGTCATACAAACCTGGCTTTTATCTTTGGGTTTGTCATAGCGACCACAAAAAGATTAAGTCAGCCAGTGTGACACAGAATACTAAGAGCTAAAATGTCACCACACTAATGAAACTATACACCAACATAATGTATAATACAGTTATCATAATGGTTTTACAATTATTTTCCAGGTGGCAGGAACAACAGCATGATATCTCGCAGTGCCATGGCCCCGGCCGGAGGGAACCAGTCCCTCATCAGCGCCTGGCTCAGCGGAGACTCCAGTAAAGGCCGTCTGGAGACGACTCACATGCTCCCCAGCCAGACGCTGTCTGTCAACAGTTTGGATGTACTTGGACAATGTCTCGTGTGTGGGACTGATGGAGAGGCCATTTTTGTCAACAGACAGGTCCCTGTTTAAAAGAGCTGTTAGTACACGGACAAGACGTGGATGAAGATCTGTTTATTTTGTGTTAGTTTCAGTCACAACAGAGGTTTTATTGTATCATTTGATCGCACAAGGTGCCCAAAATACTGTGCTCACAAGTGCACTTTGACATTTTGGCTTTACTTGTGTGTTTGTCTGTTAAATAATGTTGCATACACATTATATTTGTGCATTTCTGGATGGAGTCATCAGGTGAGCAAGGTTTATGTATCATTCCAAGCAGAGTATTTCAGCTCTTCAGTGCTTTTGTATGTTTTGAAACAAATGAATAATTAAATAAACCTTTACACAAATGTGTCATGAGTCCATTTACGTTTTTGTTCAAGGAAATATTCAAGGTAGGGCTCAGGGCTTTGTAGTTGTTGTTGTTTCCATTGCCCAAATTAAAACATTAAATCTTTACTGGTGATGTCCAGGAGCTACAGGTGGTCCAAAGGTGAAGTGAAGGATGATGGGAAAAGGTACAAACAAACAAACAAACAAAAAAAAAAATCAAGCTTCATCCGGGAAATTTAGGTAAAGTCTCCCAATCTTCACCTAACAGCTCTCTAATTGTGCTTCCGGTGTGTCATTGAAAATAAAGATCTGACATGATGTGAAAAACAAATTTAACATGCAATCTCGGTTAAATGGCGCTGATTGTGACTGAGATGATCCTGTTCAAAATAAAAATCAATTAATGCTTTTTTAAAACCATTTTTTACACTTTTGTTGTTTTTTTTATTTGTGTGGATTGCAACTAATAATTACGTGTTACAGAGTGACATTATTTATGGATGTCTATGATTGTGCACAGCTGTTTTATGTATGATTTTTTTTAATGTGATTTGAACAGGATATGTCGTTTCTATATGTAGAATGAACTTGAACAGATGAATATGAGCCTTCTACAAATAATTAGCCTTCTTAAAATAGTAAGCATGCAGCCACAGCACGAGTGTTAGTCGTTTAAATTTATAAGACTGGTTTAAAAATTAGCGTATCTTAAAGATAGTTGTGTTTTTGTTTGCAGGATTTAAATAGGTCCTTAAACTAAAAGACTTTTATTGTGAAATCTTCACTCACCGGAAGTGCGTTACGTTTCTTCTTCGTGTCTTGTTGCTGTTGTACTTGTCATTCAGACATCCCAGGAATTCAACGCGACTAGGAACAAGCCAGCTTGTCACAACAAGGACATTTTAAGTTAAAATCGCGTCCTTGTCGCCGAAAAAGGGTCAAGGAAATATCGTTCGTTGTCAAAATAGGACAAGTATCGAGGAAAGCGGCGGCTACTGTCACTGGTAAGTTGTTATCCGCGGCTAACTGCTAACTAACTGTTGCCAGTTGTGTTCCGAGCTAGCAGCTATTAGCCTAGCAGCAAATGGATGCCTTTAACACACAGGCCGCGGAGGAACTGCTGCGCCGTTTGGTTTTATGCAAAGTGCAAATGTGATAACCCCAGTTGCAGCTCATTTGTCGCTATGTGTTGGAGATATTCAGGCGAAAGTGACAAATAACTTCATCGGTTAATTTTACAAGACTTATTTGGGTTCACGTAGCGCTCTGTTAGCCTGAGCTGCTAACGACGCTAGCAAGTGGACGGGCTCTTGTTTTGTGAAGGAATAATTTTTCTTGTGAGGCACGTTTCAATACCTCCAGACTTTGAACGACGAGTTTGGCTTAAAGTTAAATGGTCGTCAAATCTTTTTCAGCTATGGGTTCATATTAACCCCTAAATCTGACAGTCTGCTTCATAATAATAAGACATACTTTGTTGTCATCCATCTCTACAGTGCAGTGTGGTACATAGAGGAGGACACAAACCATTAACGACAAGACAAGGTACAAACATAAAGTATAATAACAAACCTTGAGTGCAATAACAGAAAAAATATAAATGTAAGTAGTGTAAAATTAAATACAGGTAGTGTAAATAAATATAAAGTGATAGTGATCTAATAATAGAGTCTAATAATAATAGTAATCTGAAGTAATCTTCACATAGCTAATGTTTATCTGACAGCATCAGGTAATTAGTACTTTCTAAATCCGTTTTGCCCAACCTGTTTGGTAACATGGCATGTGTCCTGGATGCTTTCTCACAACACATTTCTTTCAGCAGCATGCAAATGTGAAAGCAGACATCAGAGACACCTGCTACCCTGTGCTGCAACCCTGGACTGAGTGACATCCTCTTCATCCCCTTCATCGTCATCATACATGCTCTTACATGAAGAGAGGGGAGAAACCCGAAGGATACAGACAGATGAGACCCAAAACTTTCCCCACCAGCAACTACAGTGGCAACAGCCAACAGATGCTGCAGGAAATACGGAACAGCCTGCGCAACTTGTCCAAACCCTCGGACCCACCTAAAGTGGACATCGGAGGAGCTGGAAAAATGCCTCCGGAGGACCCGAGGCAACAGGGGCGCAGCAGCAACCCCAAACACCCCTATCACAAGGCCTTACAGGAGATCCGCAAATCCTTGTTGCCTTTTGCCAACGAGCCCAGCACTTCAGGCCCTGAGGTGAACAAACACATGTTGCTGGAACCCCCCTGCGCTGGCTTTGACGAGGTGAGATGTTTCCGTGTTTTATTTGTCACAGAAACAGGTTGTTGTGAAAGACTGTGCAGGAATTTCATTCTGAACATAACTCTGTAATAGAGAATAATCACTCGGTGCACTTAGTTTACCGGAGAATTATTTGAAAAATGAAAAGTATGCAAAGTGGAATGACGAGCCTGTGTGGGTGACAATGCGAAGGTAGTTTTTCAGTTGGCAGTTGCCACTTGTTTTGAGACAGTGTGTGCAGTCCAGGTATGAAGAGGTGCAGAATGCAGTGCAGTGCAGTATGTAGTTGTAAGTTAGTGTAAGAATTAAACTGTTTGGGAAAGAAACAGTCCTTTTTCAGAGTTGCAACAATTAATCATTTATTTAATTAGTTTAGTTATTCTGCAGTAGTGTTGTCAGAGTTATTAATTGATTGATGCATATCAAATCTGAATATTTGAAACAGTTTCAATACTCATTTTCCATAGTACAGATACTCCCGTACCTGCTGTGTTTTCTCACTTTCTCATGTTGTTAATGTTTACTAAAATCAATCTGTTGATCTGTGCCACCAACCAAAAAGAAAAGTTGTCTTTCTTATGTTATAGTCTTGTTATTTTTATCTTTTGATTTAAAAAAAAAAATTAGATTTTAAAGAAAATATAATCTAATATTGATATTTTTCAAGATATTGTATTAAAGTTGGAATTAAAGCATCATGACAATACTGTTCTGCAACTGTTTTGGTGATTGATGAGGTTTTTTTAATAAGCAAAACCTTCAAACATTATCCAATTACAGCTTCTACAATGTAAGGATTTGCTGCTTTTTTCTGTTTTATATTATTCTAAACTTAATTCCTTTGGACCGTTGGATGGATAAAATAGGGCCTTGGAAATTGCCATGAACATTTTTCCGAGCTTTCTGACATTATAGACTGCATGATTAATTAACTAATCAAGAAATAATGTGCAGATTAATCAGTAATGACTAATTGTTTGCACCTTTAGTTCACATATATGGCTTTTGAAGAGTGTAATTATGTATGAACTGTTAAGCAAAGTAATCAGTTCATCTGCATCTTGTCACACAAACTGCTAAATTATATATATATTTTTTTTCCTTGTAAACAGAGCAACAGTCGCAGTATGGGGGCAGTTATAGACTACACGGGTAAGGTGAGCTACCAGGACCCCATGAGAGAACAGATGGCTGTTGCCAACCCTAACACTACAGGCATAAAAGCCCCAGGTACGTAACTGTCTGCTGGGACTAAACACCAGGTTTCATCTTTTATTTTCCAGCCAGGCATGCTCATTCAGCCTTGATATTGTTCGCAGGATTTGGGACATTGGCTTGGAAAAAAAAGACAATGCATGATGATATAAAGAGAATGAGTTACTGCATCACATAATGGAAGAGGTTGACTGGAAGTTAGGTTTTTGTTATCATACATAATGACGGTAGTAGTAGTGCATTCAAGGAAAGACATGTAATGTGATATGTTAGTATGGTATAAACAAGTATTTTTTGGAGTTATACATCTTTATTAAGGTGTACAAAAACAAAACTGGATGTAAAGAAATATTCATGTTGAGTGTATGTGAAGACAAGCCATGTTATACAGCCTTGGGCCTCGTAGTTTTAGCTATCATTCATATTGGATTTAATAACATTGTATGTACCAAGTTAATTAGCATCTTAGAGGCTTGTGGGGCAAGAGAGCACACTGTTGCTATGTGTGAATGCAAATGTACATATGTCACACAGTGTAACTGTTCAGCTGTGACAATTATTTAGATCTATTTCATTTAGTCCCAGTTTCAGACAGATATTTTTAATTATTTCAGCTACAAGGATGTAGTGCCACAAGTGCTACAAGTACTTGATTGTATTTTTTTGTGTGTGTGTGTGTGTGTCGATAGGACCTTCTCATATCCAGCAGGCTGTGCTAAGGCGGCCGAGCTGGAAAGGCTCTAAGGAGTCTTTGGCTCCTCGACATGTTCCTCTCATGGTGGATGGAATGATGTACCGCTCAGACAGCCCCGGACCACCTCCGGCCTTCCCACAGGGTCACCCCGCTAACAGCCAGAGAGTCAATCCTCCACTGCCGCCTCAGGTGCGCAGTGTTACACCTCCACCAAACCGCGGTGCCATGCCTCCCACATCGTCCTGGGACAGCAACCCATCAACCAAGCGCTACTCCGGCAACATGGACTACCTTGTGCCTCGAATCTCTCCAGTACCCCAGGGGAACTGGCCTGATGGGTACCAGTCGTCAGCGCCTCAGAATCAGCGTGGGATCAGCCCAGTGCCTGTTGGCCACCAGCCCATCATAATGCAGAGCTCTGGGGGGAATAAGTTCACCTTTCCCCCCAGCTGGTCTCAGAATGGCTCCCCTCAGTCTGACTACATGACGGGGAGCAGCAGACAGCCTCCTCCTCCGTACCCGGTTAACCAGAGCAGCCGGCACAGTCCCACTGACCAGCAGATGCAGTCAGGAGGACCTGCATCCTCTCCCTCTTATGTCAATGGTGGAAACATCCCTCAGTCCATGATGGTTCCCAACCGGAACAGTCACAACCTTGACATGTACAACCTAGGTCCTCCTCAGTCCTGGTCCCAGGCTCCTCTGAACCCCAACCAGTCCCAATCTTCCTCTGGCAACAGCAGCAACCAGGATCTGTCCCCATCTTGGCAGCACAACGTGCCGGTGCGCTCTAATTCCTTCAACAACCACCAGCTAAACAGCAGACAGGCCCACCAATCCAGTTCCCAGCCCTCTGCCACCACGGTCACCGCCATCACCCAGGCTCCCATCCTGCAGCCAGTCAAAAGCATGCGTGTCCAGAAGCCCGAGTTACACACTGCTGTTGCTCCCACACACCCTCCGTGGATGCAGCAGCCTCCACCGCCTCCAGCTGCACCTGCTTACCCAGAACCCCCAGCCCCTGTGCCTCAGATTCCCATTGTAGCAGAAGTCCCCAGCTACCAGGGCCCCCCTCCACCCTATCCTAAGCATCTCCTTCAGCAGCAGGCTGCACCCTGCCCCCCTGCCTACGATCCAGGGGCCAATAAGCTTGGCACAGGCAGAGAGGAGCCCGCCGAGGAGGAGAGCGGCGGCGGTGACAGCTCCCGAGACAAGACGACGGAAAGCCCTGAAAGCACGGCAGCGATGGAGAAGGAGAAGAAGCAAATCACGACATCGCCTGTTCCTGTCCGCCGCAACAAGAAAGACGAAGAGCGGAGAGGGGAGTCTGGAAGAATCGCACTGTACTCTCCCCAGGCCTTTAAGTTCTTCATGGAGCAGCATGTGGAGAACATCCTAAAGAACCATCAGCAGAGGATTAGGAGAAGAAAACAGCTGGAAAGTGAGATGCAAAGGGTGAGAACATCAACAAGCGTAGTTACATAATTTTCTTAATGAATTCATTGTAGTTATAAATGAATCAATTTCACTTTCTGCTATTTGGGAATACCTTTCTCACTTTCCGAACTTCCTTCCCTGCTATCTTGTCATCACAGTATTATGTATGTCTTTTTCATGCCGTTCTGTTTTTCTTAGCTGTTCTTTCTCTTCTTTTCTCTCCTTGCTGTCACTAACAGCTGATGTAAAAAGGTAAAGGTATCTCTGCTGTCCTGTGACACAGAATAGTCCACTCACGTCAGTTATACAAGTAAGCTGTTGTTGAGAGTTGTATTTTGAATGTCTTACATGCAGCATGTCGGCCCCAGTGGCTGAAGGAAATGCATGCCACTCCATCGCGCTCATGTCACAGCTCGTGCATCTTTGTTTTGGATTAAAGTCATGATTAACACAGTATGTTTGCACTTAGGGTGGGCGATTGACGCAAAACAGTAAGACTACAAGTTTTCTCGGAGCAATTATTTGAGTTCAAGTTTCTGTATTCCCATCATCATCATCAACATCACACACTCCTCTGTGTCTGTCCAAACCGGGTTATCATGTGGCAGCTGGATTCACGAGATCATGCGTTAATCACAAGATCACGTGAGAATCCAGCCCTGATTTGCCACTTAGCCTGCCCTCAATAGCTCCTGTGGTAGAAATGGTATTGCCAAATATATACAAGTGGACACATTTCTATGAAGCATGGTGTATACGTCATATCGCCCAACCCTTGCACTTATTTAAATGCATTTTGCACTGGTTTTCTTAAGTTGATTCCCTTGATGCCAGTTTAAACTAACCAGGACTACATGTGTGTTTTTATGTGACGTTAGTGAGCCATTTTGAGATCATGTGGGCCATGAAGTCACTTTGAATCTGTCCTGTGCTCAGGTGGGTTTGTCTTCAGAAGCTCAGGAGCAGATGCGCATGATGCTCTGCCAGAAGGAGTCCAACTACATCCGGCTAAAGCGAGCCAAGATGGACAAATCCATGTTCAAACGAATCAAGACCCTCGGAATCGGAGCCTTCGGCGAGGTGTGCTTGGCCAGGAAAGAGGACACCGGAGCGCTGTACGCCATGAAGACGCTCCGCAAGAAGGACGTGCTGCTGAGGAACCAGGTGGCCCACGTCAAGGCCGAGAGAGACATCCTGGCCGAGGCCGACAATGAGTGGGTCGTGCGTCTCTACTACTCTTTCCAAGACAGGGACAACCTATACTTCGTCATGGAGTACATCCCCGGAGGAGACATGATGAGCCTTCTCATCCGGCTCGGCATCTTCAGAGAAGAGCTGGCCCAGTTCTATATCGCAGAGCTCACCTGCGCTGTGGAGAGCGTCCACAAGATGGGCTTCATCCACCGAGACATCAAGCCTGACAACATCCTCATAGACCGGGACGGACACATAAAGCTGACGGACTTCGGCCTTTGCACTGGCTTCCGCTGGACGCACGACTCCAAGTATTACCAGAGTGGTGGGTGTCACTTTTTTTAATATCTAACAGTTCAACCAAAATATTAATTCCTGTTCTGATCTATAGAAAAGCCTGTATTGAACCGATGGACTAAACATTAATAGTGCAGACCAACGGCTTTGTTTAATTGGTTTGGAGCTCCAACCTGCCAAGAATAAATTTCTCTGCACCTGAACTTTCTGCTTGAAAGTTATAAGATATTTAACTATTGTCAGTTTTAGTCCTAAAACCAACTATTGCCTTTAAGAAAACCAGATTCTTGGTTCACTTTACCAGACACACTGAGACACAGGTACCTGGCAGCTAATCAGTGAGTGATGTACTGTGTGGTGTTTCTCCAGGTGACCATGTGAGGCAGGACAGCATGGACTTTAGTAAGGAATGGGAAGACCCGGCTAACTGCCGCTGTACAGACCGCCTGAAGCCTCTGGAGAGGAGAAAGGCCCGGCAACACCAGCGGTGTTTGGCACATTCACTGGTGGGGACGCCAAACTATATAGCACCAGAAGTGCTGCTCCGAACAGGTACAGTGGACCACAGCTCGAGGATATACTGTGGAACTGACTTTTAATTTTTCAAGCTTTAAAACTTTCCTAAGAGATGTTGTTGCAGTGTAAACATGTCTTTTATCTCCTCCAGGATACACCCAGCTCTGTGATTGGTGGAGTGTTGGTGTCATCTTGTATGAGATGGTTGTCGGACAGCCTCCCTTCCTAGCGACCACGCCCCTGGAGACACAGATGAAGGTATGTGAAGCACCCGCCGTGAAACGTAATGCCTCTATAGACCACATTGTTTCTTATTGTCATCCCCGCTTTCGAACACCAGGTGATAAACTGGAAGAGCATGCTGCACATTCCCCCACCAGCCAAGCTCAGCCCCGAGGCGTCGGACCTCATCGTCAAATTGTGCCGCAGCCCCGAGGACCGCCTCGGCAAGAACGGCGCAGACGAAATCAAAGCTCATCCTTTCTTCAGGACCATCGACTTCTCCAGCGACCTGCGGCAGCAGGCGGCGCCGTACGTCCCCACCATCGCTCACTCCACAGACACCTCTAACTTCGACCCCGTGGACCCGGATAAACTCTGGAGCAGCGACAGTGACGGCGAGGACAACCTCAACGACACCCTCAACGGCTGGTTCCGCAACGGCAAGCACCCCGAGCATGCCTTCTACGAGTTCACCTTCCGCCGCTTCTTCGACGACAACGGCCACCCGTACAGCTGCCCCAAACCCATCGAGTACGAGGGTTACAACGGGGACGAGGCGGACTCAGAGGGCTCGGTGCAGGAGGCGGCGGGTAGTTCAGCGACTCAGGGCCGAGACCTGGTCTACGTGTAGCACCTGGGTCCAGCTGAGCTGTTTGTACATAACAAGTTTGTGGAGGTTGTTTGTGTGTGTGTGAGAAGGGGAACGCAACGGTACGGCGTTTAAATCCTCCAACATAGGAAAGTATGTTTGTAGGAGCAGTCAGAATGCTCTGCAGCACATTAACAGACTTTGATATCGAAACTCTAAGAGCCTGTTTACATCTGGTACTAACATGCTTAACAGTGATCCTAGCACTTTTGATCAGATCACTCAATACGCATGTTGATGCCAGATATGTTCACACTACAAATTAAAGGAATAGTTTGGCATTTTGGGAAACATGCATATTAATTTTCTTGCTAAGAGTTACAGACTCTCAGACAGATTCGACTCCCATGTTTGTACGATAAATATGAAGCTACAGCGAGCAGGGAGGTTCTGCTAGGTAGATTTTTTTACCTTTGGACAGAGCCAGGCTAATTGTTTTCCCTCGCTTCCAGTGTTTATGCTAAGCTAAGCTAACTAGCCGTTAGCTCCAGCTTCATATTGACCAGAGCTGTATCGATAGACTCGTCTGACTCTGCAAATGAGCATGTTTTCCCAAAATATCTCCTTCAACATGTAAAAGGTACATTATACGATGTTTGCTGCCAGAGGAACAGAAAGCAGAATAAAATCAGGTGCTCTCTCTTCGACAACTTACCGCAAACTCCCCTTAAAGCCTTAATTTATTTAAGAAAGTTGTAACTGGTGACGCTAGTGTAGATGCTGTTTGAGTGTGGGAATTTTTTGTCGTTGGAATTACATTTATCGGTTAAAAAGAAAAAATTGTCTTAATTTATATTTTAATGTCTGTTGCAATTGGGGATTTAGTGTCGTGACTCATAGAAATTTGCAGGGATAAATTGCTCTAATTATTCATTGCTGTGCCTTTTTGATTTTTTTTTTTTTTTTTTTTTTTTTTTTTAAATCTTTCACCAAATATAAAGAGGGTTAATAATCAGACTGGCATTTAAAAAAAATGAGAGTAGCAGTAGCTGATTGAACTACAGTAGGTTTTTGTTTTATTTTTCTAATTTATACCTAAAAATGTATTTATAAATTAACTTGTATACAGTTGATGTAAATATTTTTCTTCTCCCTGTCGGCTGATTTTTTGTTTTCTTAGGGCAGGCCCTCATCAGTGTCCACTACTGCTGCCTTCTGTTGTGATGTCGTGTGCTTTTCAGTTTCTCATACACCCCGAAATACCTACAAACACTAACTCACAGGACTCTGAATAGATTTAATTATATTTGTTTAACTAAACTTCTTACAACGCCATTCAGACTTCATGCTCGTCTCTCAACCAAAGCACTAAATAGGTGGGTTTTAATTTTTATTTTTTGCAACAACCCACATGTAGAAAATATCGATCACAAGACTGTGAAATGAGTTTGTGTCATTATTAACACTATCAACCAGCTTCTAGGCACCTCACCACTTCATGTAGCACTCATCCCACTCTTATAGCGTAAAACCCAGTTCCTGTCTTACTTCCTGTCTTCCAGATCACTACAGCTGACTGTTGTGTTGACTTTATCATGTTTCTGTACTGATTTTAAAATAAGAAAAACTGGATCGATGGACTGACGGTGGAGAGAGATGCTCTCCATCACATATCACGATGACTTTGTAACCCGCTGTACTTTTTCTTTGTGTTTAGGAAAAGATCTCTGAATGTAGTTATGGACTTCATGGTGACCACTGGCATTCTGCACTGGTTTTGTGTTTTCATTGTAAGTGAGAGAATTTTATTTTTGTGTACATTGTTGCTCCGGCAGGTTGGGTACAGGGGAGAGGGTGATAAATAAAGAATGTAAAGAGCAAAACATGTTTCTATGCACACCAACCGTGTCGTATTATTAGTAGTATTATAACAGACGGCTGGACTGGGGATTTAAATTGGGGCTGCAACTGAAGTATTTTCATTTTCTATTATTCCAAAAAATGTATGGCTGCAACTAATGATTATTTTCTCTATGAATCAATTAGTTTGGTCTATAAAATGTCCAAAAAATGGTGAAAAATGTTGATCAAAGTTCAAGATTATGTCCTCAAATGTCTTGATTCGTCCACAACCTAAAAATATTGAGTTTGGAGGCGGAAAGATACCAGAAAATATTTACATTTAAGAACCTAGAATCAAATATTTTTTTGCTTAAAAAAATTACTGGCAATTACTTTAATAGTCAACAACTAAACGATTAATCTTTGCAGCTCAAAAAGAATTACAGAAGCCTAAGATAATACCTTTAAATGTCTTATGTTGGAGCAATGGTGCAAAACACCACAAAAACATTTAGTTTCATATCATGTAAGACAAAGCGGCAAAGTCTCACGGCAGTCTTTTTTCATGGACGACACTTTGACTCGTCACAGTAGGAAAAGCACAGGTGTAAATAATCACATTAATGATGGCTGAATTCCATTTAGCTGCTTTGATTTTAGGTCTCTGTCACTCTCAGAAGAGCACTTGAACACAACACGGCCATTGTTTGTGTCATTAGTGACACCTGTGCTTTCCCTCCTATGACTGTCTGCTGTGAGAAAGGTCACTGAAAAGATGGAACTGAGGAGTGTTTTACATTTTTACTTAAAAATAAAAGATTTCTTGAATTATTGATCATTTATTGAAATAGCTAGAAATTAAATCAAGATGGATTTTGTTAGGTAAATCACTGGTTCCCAACCTGGATGGCCCGACCCCTACTAAGGGTCACCAAAGCTTCATGAGGGATCACGAGACCCAATTGATTTTTTGGTGTAAGAAAACCTAAATTATATATAATCTGTATGTATATATCTCAGTATTGCATTCATTTCTGTTGAAAGAAATAATAATTGAAATCATTATTTCTAAAGCTGAGATTCTCATTTAACATAAAAACCTTAAAAAATACCCATAAAAGAGTACTGTGAAGACCTCTCATCGAATACAAACTTCCTACTGTCAGTGTGTCCACCACTTGTACAGTTTTTCATCAGTTCTGTACTGTTATTGTTATGCATTAAATCCATAAAATGTCACCTAAACGAGATGAAAGGCTGGGAACCACTGAGGTAAATGTTCAAGTAGCACCAAACATTCCTGGTAAGAAAACTGTTTTCATATTTTGTGTGTATAAATCATTAATGTACGCTTACTAAAATCAAACACTAATTCAATCACTGCAGTGTAGACAGATTGAGCAGAGCTGGCTTCTCTGTTCATACCTTGGTGACACAACTAATCACACTTACCTAATCTTAAAATCACCACTTAATGCTCTGGAAATTTGGTTGATATATCATGTTTTAAGGCTCTGAAGTATCAAAGGTGTTAAATTATAGATGCAGATACCCATGTTGTTAGAGGGGACTTACTTACTGCTATAAAAAGGGAAAACAAGTGTATTTAGATTCCACTAAATAGGCCCCGCGAGATAATTGGGGCATTAATTAAAGAAAGCTCTGTATTACCCTTCAGAAAAAAACACCTTTGTGAATGAGTCATTGGTCAGTTATTAGGTAAAACATACGAGTAACTTCCTGGATACTGCAACCATGAGAGGCAATAATGTTGTCATAGAGATAAGAGAATTTGTTCAACATGAAATGACTGGCTAACAATGTGTTCACAACTTGAATATTAGAACAGCTAAAGGCTCTTTGTATGACCTGTAGCCACCAGAGGGCGCCACACAAAGACAGGTTAATTTATCCTGTCAGTGGACACCTACTGTATATAAACACCAATGCACCATCCTGTGTCCCAATACTTAGGTCATATTGGACACATCAGTATATTATAAATATGTGTATCTTCTAATGTTGAACATTTTCCAAAGATGTACTGTATAACCCCATCCTCTCCTCATATATATATTTTTTAGTTTCTCCAGCCTGACAAATACAAGTTTCCTGACACAGATTGTACTGGTCACTCTACTGTTTACAGCTGATTGTTGTACAGACAGTTGAGCAAAGTCCCAACATGGTTTTGTTGTTTTTAACTTCTGTATAATTTTACTTACAGATAAACTCGTTTTCTTTCCCTCCTGGTTTACCCTAAACCAGGTGATGATCTGACCCTGAGGCAATGCAAATATTTCTACCTGACAAACATGTTACAGTATTCTTCGTCTGCTTTAAATAAGAGCAAAGAGGATTAAAGGTACAACATTAAAATAAGTTCCTCTTGAGACCCATCTGTTCAACACTATTAGACTTTTTTTATCTGGAAACATTTTTCTCTGGTGTATCAGTGGTTTTCCACAGAGCTGCCCCGAACAGCATGACGAGACTCCATTTTCACCATATTAGTAACTCTCAATTTCTCATACTCAACCACGTCACTGATGATAAACTAAAACTGAATTTGCACAAAAAGCCAAGTCAGTCTGATTATCAGGCTGGACAAGCACTGTTGTAATTAATGATTAATGACATTAATACTGGCTGCACTCCACTATTGCCAGTCTGTGCCAGGGTCCTGGGTGCTCATGCCAGCTCACTGCTACGGCTTATTCTGACACCTACAATGCAAGGGACCCATTATTATTTATTGATTACACCTGTGCTGTTCCACCTATGTTAAGTCAAAATGTCTGCGGTGAAAAAGTCCAAGTCGCTGGATGTTTCTGAGTCGATTTTTCAAGTCAAAGATCAGCAAATGTTTCAAACTGTGACCTGAAAATCAGCAGAAGAGTCCAAGTACAAGGACGATACTGAGGACCAGGAACCAGTTGCACAAAACACCTTAAATTTTCTCCTTAAGCATGACACCTAATTTCTCCTTAGCTGAGGGACTTACACAGTTGCACAGAATCCCTTAAAAGGTTTCCTTAGTTAGGGAAAAATGTTAACTCACTCACTGCCTTGAAAGATATTCCACAGCAGTTATAGTTTCCATGGAGATTGTTTGTTTGCTTGGACTCATGCTTGTGATGCCTGTTACCATCTCACAGAGTTGGTTTATAGTTAGATAGTGGAAAAAAAGGCAGAAGAAAAGAAGACAAGAAAACCATATTGGTCATAGGTGGAAAAGATTATACTTCTGGAGGAGCAAAAATCATAGAAGGCACATACTGCAAAGTAAATTAGATCCCCAAATACCAGAAAACAGAAAACGACTGTAGGAAGACACTGCAACGAAAATTAAGTCAGTCAAATCTAAAGTGTAAAATCAAAAGTGCATCCATTGGCTTCTTCTGGTCGCAGAACCTCTTCTCAGGGTGTGTTAGTTCAGCATAAACTTGGTCATGTTGCAGTTAAGATGTAGGAGTCAAATAAATAATTAGGTGAACATTTTAAGGAAACCATAAGAAGACTTAAGGGTGTTTTGCGCAACTGACTTTATTTTGAGGACACCTTAACTAAGACTTTTTTTTTCCTTTTTTACCTTGGTTTGGTTGCTAAGGTCTTTTGTGCAATGGTCTAAGGATTCATTAAGTGTAAGATCAAGACAAGGAGAAAACCATAAATTCTTCAGTGAACATTTTTAGGAAACCTTAAGGAGAAGACTTAAGGGTGTTTTGAACAACCAATTTTATTTTTAAGAAAACATAACTACGGCTTTCTCACCTTGCTTTGGTTGCTTAAGTCTTTTGTGCAACGGTCTAGGGATTCCTTAAGTACAAGACCAAGACAAGGAGAAAACCGTAATTAGGTGAACATTTTAAGGAAAAGGAGAAGACTTAAGGGAGTTTTGTGCAACCAATTTTATTTTGAGGAAACCTTAACTAAGATTTTTTTTTCTTTTTTACCTTGCTTTGGTTGCTAAGGTCTTTTGTGCAATGGTCTAAGGATTCCTTAAGTATAAGACCAAGATAGGGAGAAAACCATAAAACTCAAGTGAACATTTTAAGGAAACGTTAAGGAGAAGACTTAAGGGTCTTTTGTGCAACTGATTTTATTTTGAAGACACCTCAACTAGGGTACCTTAACTTAAGGTATTTTGTGCAACCAGCCCCAGTTTCTTAACTAGTACCATAAATGAAGCGCTGGAGTCAAAGTTTGATTTCATACAAAGGGGGAAATTTCTGACCTTTAACTTCAGATCTAAAGTGAGTCAGTCGCCCCATTTTCACTTTTCTTGACTACTTGGCTCCTCTTCAGGTCAAAAACTTCCCAAATCTCGCTTGTTAAAAGAAAAATCTACTGAATGTAAACAGCAGACATGAGTGGACACATGAAACTCCACACTGCACATCATTGAGGACAAACAAGTTAACTTAAACAAGCTTATTTTTAATGGATCTGCAAAACTGTTTGAATTTCCAAAGAGAACTTCGGTACCTCCCGCCCACAGTTACCCAGTGGCAAACGTTACACAACGTTACAGAAACGTTTCCAACCCAAAGAAATCTGCATGCAGGAAAAAAAAAAAAAAAAAATTCAACCCAAATAGGGAAAAAGAAATAAAAGTAAAATAAATCATACAGATAAAAATAAAACATCAATAAACAGGACATACTGTATAATGCCGTTCTCTTGGCTGGAGGAGAAATTCAAACACATCTGCTTCAGTTCGGCGTCCTCGTGCAAGAGCCTGAACCGACAGAATATTAAACTGTAATTTCATTGGGTGGATGTGGCTCCGCCCACCACACAGCCCCGCCCCTGTCTTCCATATAAGGCACAGGACAAAATAAACCCCCACATACAAAAGGAGCTAGCCACGCCTCTGTCACTTGGTAACAAATTGTAAATGACCAAATACGGTTAGACAACAGAAACCCCACTAAGTGTACAAAATGTTAATCCTACATTTGTCTTCTTCTTTTTTTTTTTTTTTTTGTTTGATTTTATTTTGATTTTCTCTGACTGAAAGTGAGTGCTGTGGGTAAGGGGGGTGGGGTTAAGGGTGGGTGAGGGTGTCCAACCAGGTGAGCTCAGGCAAAGGAATTATTAAAAATATGAGCTTGTCTTTTCCACACTTTTTTCCTGTTTTTTTTTTAAACAACTTTTAAAACAAATGACAAGAAACGTGACTGGATTTCTCTTTTTATCAGAAATAAAAATGATCATCAGATGGAGAGTGGAAGAGTACGGTGGAGGGTGGAGGGAGGAGGGGGGATTAGATGAGTGAAGTGGTTTATTGTTTTATTCTGATAAAGAGACAGACAGAGAGTGTCAGTGTGCAAGAAAACTCATGAGACAGGTTAGAGAGCAGAGACAGAGTTAGAGTTAGCAGTTAGAGAGACAGAGAGAGAGAACATGTGTTTGTTTGTCTGTGTGTGTGTTTGTGTGCGTTAGTGTGAGTGAGACTGAGGAGTTGTTCAACTGCAGCACTTGCTCTTCCAGCCTGTGACTCCACCTCCACTGCTGATGTCGACGTTTTCACTGTTGGGCTCTTTTACAGGCGTCTGTTGGACAAACAACGCACAGAAACACTTCTTATTAAATACATGGGAATTCAGGAAAATGCACACATACACACACATATACAAAATATACACCTAAACACAGGACAATCATCCATCATCTATTCACACTGTTTCATTTGACATTTAAGCATTTATGTACAGCAAGTTGGTCGTTAGTACAAAATAAACTCAGGGTGATGCTGGACGGTTTTGTGGTTCACCACACAAAATTCTGATTTAGAAATGATTTTTTTTGCTTCCGCCAGTTTACGATCAGACCTGCGTTCACAGGAATGGTGTTGAATACCTTAATTCAGCAAAATTAAATATAAAAAGACACGTAATAAAAATGTTTAACTATCTTTGTTTAGCTGTATGTCTATTTCAATCTTCCTGAAAACTGTTCTGTGTGTAGGTAAATTGTGAGCAGCTTTTAACTGCTGTGTGACTCTACACCTGATGCAAAATAACAATGATCCCTTAAGTGTCTGAAATCCCATTTTACTGCTCACTATGGAGTAAAATATTGAGTGTTTATTATGCAGGGGAATGGAGGTGTTCAGTCAGTGCGTTTACATGGACATGAATGCTTATGATCAGGTTACTGGAGTATCATGTTTATCAGTTTGAGCATGTGAACACTGAATCCTGTTTTTAGAAACCAGAGTAAGACTTTATCTGGTTTACGAGAAACCCAAATATGCTACCTGGAGTACGAAACAAACCAGCACACTGTTGCATGCATGCACCTTATCCTAGTAGCTGAGAGCCGTCAACAACCTGCGCGGGCTTGGCTTCAGCTAAGAGTAGCGTAGCTCCTTTCATGAATAATAATAGCTCAGTTTGAAGTGTGTGTATGTGTGGTTAAGAGAGAGGAAAACGGTACATGCAATCAGAGCAGACAGCTGTTTGCGACCCGAGCAGAGAAGAAATTTGCAGTTATGTGGTAAAATGGTCGTAAAACTGTAGAGTTCAGAGTTTAATATTTCCTGTCGCTCTCATCTCCCATTGCAGCTTTGCTCATGTAAACATCACAGCACCTGCGCAAAGACACTGCAATAATCAGCAACCAGGTTACTAGTATGTTTCATGTTTACAGTCAGGGAATATAACTTGATTTCTCTTTGCTCATGTAAACACCTCATCCCCAATATGATCATAACTGCGATAAGCCTCGTAAACAGGTTATTCATGTCCACATAATCGCACTCAGTGATTCAAATCATGAGTCAAGGAGCATTCCTGAGTCAGATCTGATTTTGGAAGTTGAAGAGACGAAGAGAGGAGAAGGTTAACTTTGCTGAAGACAGCAAAGTAACTTCTTGAACTAGATGCTTGTACAACTTCCTCTACTGCTGTCCACAAGGACACACACTTTTTATGTCTTTGACTGTGTGAAAATATGATGTCCTCACAAAGGAATCAAGTTTGTCTTGCAGGTAACACATAAGACTCAACATGCAGGATGTTATATGAGTAAATTATGTCCTGACCTTATGTTTTCATACTTAGAAGGCCTCAATGTGGACAAGGGGGAAGCTCTTGCTCCATTATTTTGACTGACTTGACTTTGATTTAACGACATATGTTGTAGACGTTTAAAGTGACAACATCAGCAGAGGCTACATTAACTGTCAGTGCATTACTTGTCCATTTAAAGTGCTGTCATTACAGTTAGATTAGATACACTCCCACTTACTATCAGCATCAAACTGTCTGTGTATAAACTGTTAGCCTACAAAGAGCAAAGCTATGAAATGGCTACTTGGAGAGTAATATGAATACTAATAAATTATACTAGTAAATACATTGATGCATTTGTTCTTGCAATTCTACCTATATCATTCCCCTAAATAAAAAGCACTGACATTGTTTTCATGAATGTACCAACACTTATATATCATAACTGAACACACACACACACCTTTCTGAGGATATCTTCTGCTAACGTGAGGAAAGCCTTCTCGATGTTGATGTTGGCCTTAGCACTCGTCTCAAAAAACCTAATGCCGTGCTCCCTCGCAATCTGTGGGGAAGAAAACAAGACGAGTTAGAACGATGAGTGCGGCCACCGTTTAAGAAAGTCCAAAAATAAAGTGCGCAGAACAGAGATCAGGTATCACTGCTGGTACACACACACGTATACTCACACTTCCATTCTAGTCAGGTAGGTGTGTGTGTATGAGTAAGCAGATCTGTATCTGAGGTTGCTAAATCTGCAGACTGACTAGTCACTGCTAGTTTGCTATGGTAGCCAGAGCTCTTTAAAGGCCCTGCACGCCTACACAGATGTTTTCACTTGTTCTGGCTGATTAGATCTCGACTCAGGCTCGAACTGGGTGGGACTCTATTTGAGGTTTCATTAAGTGACTAAACTCTTAATAACTAATAGAGGACATGTACAGTAAGTGACGTGAGTGAATGGAGAAGTCATCGCAGACACTCCTGCTGCTTAGTGTCTTGAATGGCTCCAGGCTTTGTTTAGTGTCAAAATAAGGTACAAATATGGTCCAAGAAACTCAATTTGTCCCCATATTTCAGTGTCTACTCACCATCTTGTTCATACTATCAATTACTATTGGTGTACAGAGGCTAGAAGTGACCCCCACACAGCATCACAAATAGTAGCCTCTATTTCAACTGGCATCCATCTTCAGTCAGACATTATTTGAAGCTAGCGGCAAGCTTGTTTATAAAAAGAAAATATCTCCTCAGTGATATGGACATGTTGTGATGTTGTACTGCTGTTCTTCTACAACTTAATACACAAGTGAACCCATTCAACACAAATTACACTGCTTTTTTCTACTACAAACAGTGCTTACATACAGTCTGAGTTATGCCTTGAGCTGTAAAGATTGTGTCCTGAAAATAAAGTCATCCACTTCATTTCAGCTATAAAACATCCAGCACCAGCTGCCACAATATTTCAGTGGCATCACTTACACCATCTATTATCGATTTTGCATACTCATAAACAACGCAGTGTTTAGTTTGAGCATGAATGAGGCGAGTTTAAACACCCTAAGAGAATATATGAGGATTTCTGAGACCGGCTGACCCATAATTTTCTTGCGACGCAGGTCTGAAATATGTCTGGAGGCCCAAATATAATCAAAGTCTCGTATTCATTAAGTAAACAGACATTTACAGTGAGATAACAAATTTTGAAACGCTGCTTTCCACACATTTTTAACGTGAGTTACAGCAGCAAATATTCGTGAAGAGGACTCTAACTTCACTGTCAAATGTCCTATAGTTACAAGGCCTCAAGGGCACCTCAACTGCACTTGTTAGGACAGTTAAGAGCCGCACATTCTCAGCCCTGATCCTCTGAGCTCGTCTACAAAGTCCAGTTACTCACTGACCTTTACTCTGCAGCAGCTACTTTCTAATGAGAAATATTGCTTACTGAATATAATAAACTTGCTTGTGTACTTGCTATATCAGGGCGGTACCAAAACTCAATTTTTGCTACTACATTAAAAGGATTCCTCGTCTATTCTAATTCGTTTTAGATGACTTACGTCCCAAGAAACTGTTGTTTGGGTAGCTGTCTTCACTAGCTGAGTCACTACAGTAGGCACAATAAGCCTTCATGGCATGCAAGGACAAACAGCAGCTTACTGCACACTCTATAAGGAGGCACTGTTTGAGTGGATGGTGTAAGCTGACATTTCACAAGTAACTTCAGGAAGCTTACTAACTATTTCTACCAGTTCTGATACCATAATTTAAATTCCATTATCCTTACATTATTTCACAAACATTATGGCATTCTCTACTTGCTATCCTGCCACTTCATATTGTGTTTTCTATGAGCTGAACGTGTAAGCTGCTGCAATGTGGCTGCAACACATCGGCCAATCAAACATGCAGGGCCTTGACGATGAATGGCTGTTTACAGCTGCAGTGGACGGCTCCATCTCACCTGCTCCCCCTTGGCTTTTGGTACGACCCTCTTGTCCTCCATGTCACACTTGTTGCCTAGCAGCATCCTCTCAACATCCTCATTTGCATGCTGAAAAAATAAAAGAAATAGTAGAGTAGATTACTTTTTCATCATCAGCAACATTAAACTTAATCTCCCACAAGCCAACCAATCAATCGACCCCCATAAAACACACACAGGTAATCCATTTACATTTCAATGCTTTTATCAGCCACCAGGGTAAAAAATTTCAGCATCTGTGTATAAGAAAAGTGGCAGAACTGAGTTGTGACTCTGGTACAACAAACCCTGCTTCCCACTTTGTCATCTAGACCATAGGTTCCAAACATCAGGGTCACGACACCCTCAACAGGTCTCAAGATAAATCCGAAGGGCTATAAGTTGCTTAAAAGCACAGGAAAACACAAAGTATTTTTATATAACACAAAATCATTTTTAAACTTTTAGTTTTTGACTTTTTAAGCTCAGCTGCTAGACAGTTTTAAGGGAAGTAACTGACAAATATTTCCATCACTGATCTACCCAACAATTACCTTTACAATGAATCTTTTGGTCTATAAAATATCAGACAATAGTAAAAACAAAATGGCATAAAATAAAAAAAGGGAAAAGTTTGGCAATTTTGCTTTAAATAAAAAAGATTTTAAAAATCCACTGATTTTCAAAATGATTGCTGATGACTTTCTGTCAATTGCCTAGTTGATTAATTAATTCTTTTTTATTCAGCTCTAAGTATTTTACATGTTTTGGACTGTCAATTTTTTTAAAAAAAATCAACCAGGGCGGGATTGACTCATCCTCTGATTCTGATTTTTTTTAATACTTGAATGTTTTGTTTATAAAATATCAGAAAAAAGTGAAACGTCCATTAAAATTTTCCACAGTTTGAGGTGATGTCTTTATTTGTCTTGTTTTGTCAAACTAACAGTCTAAAACTCAAAGACACTCAGTTTACTATGGTGTATGACACAGCAATACCAAATTTTACTTAAAAAAATTATTCAATTATCAAAACAGTTGCAGATTAAATATCTGTTAATAAAACTGATTGATTGTTGCAGCAGCTGTGAATCAAAAAATTAAAACAAATTCACTGAGATCGCTTTGTTCTGAGGGCAACAAGCCAAAAAAAAAAGTTGGGAACCCCTGATCAAGATTGTATTCATATCACTATCCAGGAAGCAGAAAACCCCATATCCTTTAAGCCCTCTATGGAGCCAACAGCCATTTTTCACACACAAAAGTGCAACATGAGCAAGGTCGAGTTCTTGCAGGAAATGCATTGTGTTTCCTTTCCTTGACCGGATTCAATCTCTCTCACAGCAAGGGTGAAAATTTTCTAAAAGAAAGCCATCTAGACAAACCCAACGCCTGGCTGTCTCACCCAAAGACGCAACACCTTCATACTGATCATGTGTCGTAAGATTATAGCGTATTGTCGCACCCAGGCATAATGAAGATAATGTGAGCTATTGATTAAAACTGTCACAGTAATTAAACTGATGTGTTTCATCTGGCATGGATCCCACAAGATTAGACATTACGCAACAGAATAATCACGACTGACATAGACACTAAGATTTCAATATGAAATAACAGGGAGACAGAAGCTGAAACAGAGGCACAATTACCCACAGAGACGCATCTACCTTTACATTTGCCTGTGCTTCCTTTCACTTGTGGCCTTTTATCCACCATGACACAACAAAAATGCAAAACCAGCCCTCACAGACACCGTTAAATCCTCCCTCAGCTGCCCGTAATGCACACAGACTTTTAAGGATCTTCAACAGGACTCCAGTATTGTGTAACCTCTCTTTAACACTGACCTAATAGTCAACACTGTTTATAGAGACGAGCCACTGAGTGGCTGATTTTTGTCTGATGTTAAAAATGAGGTTGTGTTAAACATTTTAACACCACCATTAAAATTCCTAAGGAGCTGGACTAAAGGCAGATATACTTCAGCACCAGAATATATAAAATAGTTTGTACCTTTTTAAGGTAAGATCAGATTTGACTTTGCTAAAGTGCTAAGATAATGACATGCAGTTTAGAATCTATTCAGAAGTGCAAAAAGCAGTGACAGTATATGTAATATACAGAATTAACAGTAATAGGTACCATACATATAGCACACAGAATAAAAAGTAAGGGGTGGATATGAATACACTACGATATACACAGTATGAACTGAATAGGCTATGATAGACACAGTATGAACAGTGTGAGATAAGAACGCTATGGCGTATACCTTAAGTAGGCAATATATATATTGATATTATAGTATAATAATTTATAGATAGCACAAGTTCAAGTAGCATTAAATGGCACTAGTGATAACATATACAGAATAAACAACTGTAAGTATGATGTGAATATGGTGAATACACTATATATTGGATATATACAGTACAGACCCAGGCTGTAATGGTTTGTGTACTGGCACCAAACCATCACTTCACAGAGGTCGTGGTCCAGTGCACGCAGCAGAATACACGGTATGCCGGCAAGTGAATGTAATGTGGAACCAGACCAAACTTTTTGCCGTACACCATAAGCAAAATCTCCAGAGGTTGGAACAACAAGCTGATTAGCGTGCCAATCAGTCACACTATGTAGAGTGAAAATGAAACTGCGGAGCTGGTAGATTCGCCTCTGAGTTCCGTGTCAGCTACAACAGCAACGGAGAAAGCTGTGTATAAGACAAGGACAGTGTGATAGCATTGCCCCACCGTTGTAGGGTATGCGAATAGAACCACATTCAACATGCTAACGCACATTCAACGGCATCAACCAGATGTGCAGATCACTGGGACAACGAAAAAACAAACTGGAGCCCAACATCTTATCCACGCTGTTTTAGAGCAGCCCTTGGACACAAGAGCAGAACAGGATCAAACAGCTACTGAAGCTGCTGACATTTACATTGGCATATAGCCAAGGTGGATCCAACTGTGACACTCATCCTAATGCAGTTTTATTTATTATAATTCTATTCATTTTGTATTTTCAGTTTCATATCGTAAGAGTTGCGTTTTGGTTTTATAGCCTGTTGTGACCTGTTACCTTTAAAGAAAGCGCTCAGTGTTAATACAGAAGTGTTTTAAGTGTTCCTTAATTTTTTAATGAAAATAGTTTACCAAAGTTGCCAGCAGGCAAAATGCTACTTTAGATCCCAGCAAGAGGATTGTGTCTGTCTTTGACATTTGCACTACTGTCTGTTCAAAACAAGTGAAAAGAAATGCCTATGAATTTGTCTTTTTTCCACTGTGCCAAACTCAAACTCAACTGTGACTCCTTAAACAGGGGTATGAACCAAAACAGTATAAATATGAATATGTAAAGTATCTGCACAGAATAATTCGATATTAGTAGATATCAAATTGTCCTGATTAATGACATGACACTTATAAAGAACTTATAATGTGTACATAACTTGAGTGTTACATGTCCAGGCTTGATCTGTCTAGACCTGTAACACCATTAGCAAACATACTCTTGGAATCATCTCACATACACATCTGATACTGATACTCACAAGGTACAACAGCACAGCCCCTGGTTGTCCTACAATGAGCCAGATGGAAACAGACATCTGGCTCAGCTGATGTAATTTAGTCACACTCCTGCTACACAGCTCGCTGCACACAGATCAGCCGGCTAGTTAGCAATGCTGGCTGCCTTCCCTCAAAGTATTTAAATCACTTTGTCATCGTGCCAAGGATAAAACAATAGATGTGCCAACATAAAACGTCCTGTTAAGATCTCTGATTAGATTTTACCCAGCAGCATAGATCCACATGATGATATGGACTCAGAATATGGAGAAAGAGAGTGTGTGAGTGTGTTTTACCTCATCAATGTTGCGCAGCCATTTGCTGATGTTTTCAAAGCTCTTGGCATTGGTGATGTCATAGACCAGCATGATGCCCATGGCTCCTCTGTAGTAGGAGGTGGTGATGGTGTGGAACCGTTCCTGGCCCGCTGTGTCCCTACACAAACACGAAAACACACAGAGTTCATTTGTTTGTATTTATCTGTTTGCATCACAGCGGAAATTGGCCATAAAATATCTGCAGTTTGACAGAAATGTTGCTCCAATGCCAATTACTTTGCAACCTCCTCAGATTCCTTACTTTCTGTGAATGCAAATCGCAACACGTATCACCCACAAATGTTGAAAAGTCATTACAAAATATAATTTAGCATGTAGATACATTAGCTTCAAATATGTGATCTCTACTTGGCATGCTTACTCCTCTAATGTAAAATTCCTTTGTCACCAAAAGAGGCTGATAAAAGTACCCTTAGAGTATTTACCACAATAAAAAAGCACCACTAGCACATTTCTGACTGAGCAAATTAAGTACTTACTCAAACACACATTAAAACCCTCTACAGGCTACCCATGTCCCTGACATGTCTAGCATGCACCTCAACTGTAACGTTTTCCTGCCAGGGGAAACCCTGCCAACATCCATCCATCACTGCTGATACAGAACAAGGGAAGCGGCCCTGCAACACCAGGTTCACATGAGCAAATCAAACCTACACTTACACTAGTTGTTTCACTTTGACGTTCAAAATGGTAGCTGACTGTGCAAAATCGGCAAACATTACGATCTAGACTTGGTTTTGCATTTCCCCATAGTCTTTCATATATTCACAAGCCATAGTGGCTACAGAGAATCATAGAGAAAAGCCTTTAAGATAACTTGTAAAATACAGATCCTTGATACTCTGGTACATTTCCTTTTCTACTATCAAAAGATAGGACTAGTGGGCAGTAAACAGGAGCACATATTTGACAACCACACAGTAACATTTTTGTTTACAAATACTTTAATGAGTAATTAATTAGCCTTGAATGAATAGACTCTTGTCTGCAGAGGAGATGTTATCATGAAAATGCCAGAATAACAATTACAGTTTTGTGTACGGACCTTGTAAGACTTGACCAAAAACTGTGTGTTGTGTTGTTTAGAAGATATTTGTAACTTCATAAACTACTCAACACTATAAATATATGTGAGCTCATATACAATTTGATCCTAAAGAACAGACAATTAATCTACAAAAATTTTGCTCAACGATTAATCAAACCTTAAATTATTTTTGAAGCAAACATGCAGAACCTTTGCTTGTTCCAGTCTCGAAAATATAAGGATTTCCTGCTTTAGTTTGTCTTGCATGATATGAATTTAATAACTTCTGGGTCCTGAGCTGCTGTCCAGACAAAACAAAGACATCATATCCAGCAACACCAAATGACGCATCAATGAGTCCACTGAATATTTAGGAGATTAATAGATAATAAAAACAGTAGTTAGTTGTAGCCCTCTAAGCAATTAGATGAAATCTCACCTGCAAACCTAAGCTTAGTATCCATGTTTTATCATGTTTGCAGAAGAAAATGTTAAATATAAAGTAATTTCAGTTGAGGAAAATCAACTGTTGTCGACTACAATAATAACCCTGTAGCAAACGTCCTGATGGACTGATGACCATTTCCTGTTCTAGCACATTTCTGGGCTTGAGGGAGGCATGTCAAACAGATGTTTCACGATGATATAACAAGGCACAAAAAGAAGAGGCATGAATTGAAATACGATTTACTCAGTGATGGTTTATTTTCCAGTTCTGTACTCCTCTAAACACAGAGCCTTAACTTGGGTATACAAACTAAAAACGGAAAACAGTCCAATGACTCACCAGATCTGTAGTTTGATCTTCTTTCCTTGTAATTCAACAGTTTTGATCTTGAAGTCTATTCCTGTAAAACAGAGACAACCTATCAGCACATATATCCATAAAAACACATGAACAACTAGCACATGACGCACTGACTGAACTGAAATGGCGGTTTACAGACAGACTTTGGCCCCGATGCAAACTGAGAATGAGAATCACCCATAGAAAGACATTTAGGAGCAGAGGGAAATTGAGAGTGAAGTGTTTCCATCAGAGAGACAATAACATTATCTCTTCCTGATTCTGCAGTGTCATGCCCAGACCTTGAGCCTATCAGCACACAGCTGTGGCATCAGCAGCTGGCTAACAATGGGTACACATACACACACACACACACATCATACCCACACAAGAGCCAGGTTGATCAGAGTAATCAGTCTAACACAGGCAAACTGCGAAACTGTTATCATGCACTGCAATAGTTTTGTTACTGTTAAACCTGTGTTTAAATGCAGCTGGTTAGAAACACGGTATCATACATTTCTGTAGTCTATTAGTGACTTTTAGATGTGGTTGGAGCATTTGGACTGGTGGTGCAGTGAGAGGACAGACTGTGGTGGGAGAGCACACAGTTTTTCCTGTATGTGCATGTTTCTCAGTGCGGAAACAAACTTATTTCAGTTTCCATTTTGGCTGAATTTTGGATTTAATTATTCTTGATATATGGACCAGACTGGACCTGACCAGATGCTACGCTACATGTTATCCTACTTGTCATCTTTTATTTCAATATGTATTTATCCAAATCTGTATTTTCTAAAATGCTGCAAAAAAGTACTATTCGGAAACAGGCAAATAATTAACAGTATTGCATCTACTCTAATCGCAATCTTGGAATCCATAGGCTATCATTGGACCGCGATAAAGCATCAAAGGGCAACAGCCAATATTTCGGGAGATCCAGCAGATATCCAGGACCTTGCCTTTGCCTTGCATTTCGGTCAATGCGTTCCAACTCTCCATATGAACTGTTGACCTGCCGTGCCAGTGGGATTGGTCATTACTTCTAGGACTACAAACGGAAACCAGAACACTTACAATACCAAAATCTTGTCCCATTGCTCAAAGATTGTGCATACATATGCAGATATATGTTTACAGAGATTACCCTGGTGGTAATCTGACTCGATTTGGATTTGAGCTGAAGATTTCTGGTAAATGTAAGTTAATTGTAAAGCATTGAGAAACATGATGCTAAACTGATCAGTTAACTCATCAATTAACTTACTAATTTACTATTTATTACAATGCATGAATTGCAGAAGTCATTTATCAAGCACAAAGGTCAAACGTTCTCTTGTTACAGCACCTATAACTATATCAGTATAAATGAAATTTGATCAATCGATGTAAACTAAATATCTTAAATGAAGTTGCATCTTCGGGCTCTGAGAAATTGTGATGTGCAGTTACCACTGGTTTGGGACATTCATATACTAAACTTGGACTATCACTAAGATTATTTCAACTATCGATTAATCTGCCCATCATTTTCTTGATGAATCAATTCATTGTTAATTCCATAAAATGTCAGAATAACACAAAACATGTCCATCAAAATTTCCCAGAAAATTGAAATGACATATTTATAATGCTTATTTTGTTTGATCAACAGTCCAAAAGCTTAACATACTAACAATAGGCCAGTAACAAGAAGAAAATACTCTCATTGGAGAAGCTGGACCGAGGTAATGTCTGGCATTTTCTGCTTGCACTGTGACTCAACCTGTGTCAATGATGAAATGCAGACAAATAATTCTAAAGATTTATTGTGTTCTCAATATCAAGTACACTTTAGTAGGATTATCGTCTTTGTCATCATCATGAAGCCCCACAAGAGGCCAAATTCAGAGTGGTGATTCATGACTGTTTACACTTTTTGGCCAAGAGTTTTCCAGCTAAATAGTGAGCTGTCATTTCAGCTCTGGTCAGAAACTGTGGTTGGTTAAAAAGTCCCAAGAAACAGCTGTGCTCTAGGTGGAGCAGGGCCATCGAATAATGAAGGAACTGGCTGCCAAGGTGTGACTCACTAAATATTATGCACTCCCCAGAGAGAGGGAGGGGGGACAGAAAGATATAGTTGGATAGAAACAAAAAGAGACAAAGAGGAGTAGAAGATTTCTGCAGATAAGACACAACTTACTGTACCCGCATTGATATTTTACCTCAACAACTTTCAACAGCAGCAATTACATACTGGGCAAAATACTAAAGTAAAAGAGGGCGAGTTTTCTTAACAACCATTACTGAAAGTTTTCAAAACCCAAGCTCAGCTGTGACTGTCGTAGCATTGTGTGCGAGGAGTAAAGCAGTATTTTTCCTGGTGAGGTGCACTGGCACGTTGTCAAGAAAATATGTGCATTGTGCAATCGCACAATTACACAATCACTGGGAAAATGGGCACACATAAACAGAGAAGAATGACACTTGAGCTGGAGGTCTTAAACAGAAAGTACATGGTTTATGGTTGGTTCTCTTTTTTAATCCCAGAGGAATCATTCCTTCCCCAAGTATGAATTCCACTGTAGCCATCGCCAGTTTCCATGCAAAATTCATGATGTGTTGTGGAAAGACATTTCAGATTGCAACACCATGCATATTCAGCACTCTTAATATGCATAACCTCAAGTATACAAGGAGGAAGGGCAGAGAGAGCGACACTCGGGTGATTGGAAATGAGGATGAGTGAGGGGGGTGGTTTCCAGTGGGGGTATTTTGAGAAGCAGCTGTGCATCTGTGTCTCCAAAGGTATGAGTGTCAGAAGAAGAACACACTCCTGTATCACATGTCCTGGTTCTGCTGGTTCTTCCCAAAGTTCTGTTCCTGCTTAGACTTTCTGGTTTTGACACCAAGGGCCGTACCTGATTTATGTGTAGGGCCTTCTCCAAAAGTAAAGAGGCAGAATATTTGCAAACTTCAGACTGTACATTCTGTACTCTCTGCACTACAGTGCTGTGATGCATCTCGTTTGTTGCATCCACTGAACTTACAGTAGTGTCTGCCAAAACATTAGCAACCATCGTAGCCAACAAAATACTGGGAAAATAAGATGAACCCACTAATCATATAGCAACAAAACCAGAAGTACATCCCTGCACATCAAAAGGCTTGTGCTGGCAGTCTTCAAAAATTCATATTTATCAAATCACAAGTGTTACTGTCCGCTAATTACATATTCAGAGTCAAAACAAATAGTTCATCTACAGCAAACTGGTCAGCAACTAATCTGATAATTGTTCAAGTCATTCTTTAAACACAAAAGACAAAAATGACGTTCCAGCTTCTCAGTTATGTGTACTGGTTGCTTTTTGACTAATTTGATAGTAAGCCTACCATCTTTTGGTCTTGACCTATTTGTTTGACAATACAAGCAATCTAAAAGGTGTAGTCTTGGGCTGTTATATAACAAAAGACTATCAGTGGAATAATGGATGATGAACATAATTGTACTGCATATATCATCACCACAAAGTAAGCTGACTGAAGATACACTGACTGCAAGGTGGAACATTAAGTAGGTACTTCTTAAAAGTGCTTCACTCCTTTTACCAGATGCAGAATCAACAGGCAATACCTAAAAATTGGTATCACAACACTCACTTATTTACTGTATACTATTAAAAATCAAAATTCCCCGACAGCTACAGGTTCGCATTATTTGGTACGCTGAGAGATTAGTATGTTCTTCGTATATTTTACTTTTGATCACACTACATGCCGCTTTGTTTTGAATACAGATGTAGGACAAAGGCGAGCTGAGACAGAAGCTTATGACTGTGTTGTAGATTTAAAGGGACAGCTCTTGTAGTAAACCAGAGAAAACATATTAGTGAACATCCTGAAATGAGCAAACTTATGTTGGTGTGTGATTATGAATGTTGATGTAGTGCCAGTAATTCTCAGGTCTTGTCAAACTGAGGGGGAACACCTCAAGTGGGTACTTCCTAAACTAAATGACAGTAATGACTGTTGCAGACAGTTCAAGCTCAAGCACTGTGATCATTCCTGTTTCTGGTCACCTTGATACTTAAAATAACTTGTAAACTAACATAAAACTTATGCTATGTTTACCAAAGTTTTTTGGGATAAATTAGACACAAAACTGAGCAGGCTTATAATGTGGACACCCACACATTTGGTTCAGCATGATCAAGCATGTTGCCTTTTGGAGATAATACTTAAGTTTTGCTTGAGGGCAGACACAGAGTATGATGAATATATCAAGTTTTTCTACAGATAAGGAGAAAAAACGCCTGCAGTTGCTGCAAACTCCTACAGGTGATACACTTGACAAACTACCCATCATGTCAGGGAAAGCACCGCTGCAATGAGCAAAGGTCACAATTGGTCTCTGACTGCTAAGAACCTGTCAGGCTGCATCTGACCATCACAGCACAGCCTTCTCTTAAACTGGCTGAACTGGCAGAGCTCTGACATGATGGCTGCAACTCAGCCTATGATTACATTTTTAAAAAAAACAGGGCAGAGTGTAAGACATGACAAAAGACAAACAATCTTCAAAACCATAAACAAGCACAAGCACATAAACACATCCATGTGACAAAAAGCTTCGCAGCAGAGTGATTGTTCAACGTTCATTGCTGTACCTCGACAAATCTAATCTGGCCTGGATGCCACTAGGAACAGTGTCGCCCATTATGGCTGGGTGTTCTTAGACATACAGTCAAGGAGTCGTCAACACTTAAAAGTTACGAAACGATGGGCTTGAAATTTAAACTAAATCAAGAGATCAAGGATATAATGCCAGCACATTGCAAACAGTCAGCTTCGTGCGGCTCAGGAACACACATCTAATGTTACATTATTACTCAGCACTGATCTTAAGCAACAGGAGTAAATGGAGACTTCACTTAGGCCATGCAGGGATTTGACATAGTTTGACATTTGACTCATGTGAGCGTGATGTTGGATGCATGAGTAGAGGACAGAGGGAAAAAAAAGCTGATGATACCACCATGGTGAATTGTTTATGGTTCTCTTCAGAGAGGTGGTGGAAAGTAAGTCAGAGGTACTTGTACTTAATTATTTTCCAGTGGCAGTTTCTGTTCCTTTATACTTCAAATCCACTATATTCTTGTTGGGAACTATTGTACTTTATCCTCCACTACAAACATTTGACAGCTACAGTCACCAATTGCATCACGGAATCAGATTTTGCACGCAAAGCATATGAATTTCTTGTAATGTTACTTACACACTCATGTAGCAGTAATGATAGATCAGCAACACAATGTGTTTAACAGCCTGAAACATGCCATTTTGAATAAGTACTTTATCTTTTGGCACTTCAGGTAAATTCCACTGGCAATGTTTCTGTACTTTCACTTACGTTTGAAGGCAACAGTTATAGAGCATTTTTATCATGATATTTCTTGTTTTACATGTGAATATTTCCTCCATAGCTGATTTTAAAGGGGCTTTACTTGTGTGCCACTTATAATTTTGACAAAAGATCCAAATATTTGTCACCTTTAAAGGTGCAATTCATGACAGGGACAAAGCCACATATTTACATATTGATAATAAGCTGTAAAACCAAGTCAGTTACATGGGGAGACAGTTTTCTGGTGCTTTTGTACCAGCAGCACGGCCCTACACTGTTAGCCTCGTTAGCTCGCTAGCTACTGGGTCAGGTGACGTGACAGCAATTCCTCCGGCACCTAAACCGGTTATACTTGCCATTTCTGGCAGGCTTAACCTAAACAACAATCATGTTTTGTTATTAAAGTCGCAGTCCTCTGAAACAAGGGTGACTGGGGTTTAGCTAAGAGGCACATAAAGCTTTACAGAGAAACTGAACCTGTGCAGGCCTGAAGAGAAGCTAACGTCAGTGCATGCTGATAGCATGCTAGCTAACCAAATATGTCCTGCCTACCATTTCCAGCTGCAGGAGAAAGTCATACGAGCCTCCCAGCTGTCAAACTACCTCCGATAGGGGTTCAACGGAATGGTATAAACACCTGTAACAACACGCAATCCATTGTCTGTGGGGTGTTTCTTAACGTTACCTATGGTGGAGATGAAGGTTGTGTTGAAGGCGTCGTCAGAGAAGCGGAACAGCACACAGGTCTTCCCCACGCCCGAGTCTCCGATCAGAAGCAGCTTGAACAGCAAGTCGTACGTCTTCTTCGCCATTGAAAAACAGCTTGTATCAACCCAGACAAGAAACAAAAAAAACTGATAACCTAGCACGCCTATGTGAAGTCTAATGCCAGCTCCAACCCGTCCAACTGCCCCGCTTCTGCTTGACTGTTAACGTTTAACAATCTGGGATTTGTTGATTAGCTTGGCAAGCTAACTAGTTGGCTAAATACCACCCAAATAACGTGCCCGTGGAGAAGTTATATTTCCCAAGCCCAACTGCGTTCCCCCTTTACAGCATGAGAACAGAAAGCAAAAATAAGGATCTCCTCCCGTGTGATTCCTCTTTTCCACTCTTTCTTTTCTCCCACACAGTCGGGACAAAATGGCTCCTCTCTCTACCCCGACTCACTCTTTCTTCAAACTAACGGCGAGCTAATTCAAATTCTCGGCACACCCCGTCATTCCAGAGCCCGGCTGCCACAAGCTCGACCGAGAAGAATTTGGAAAAAATCTCAACGTTAAAGTCTGTAAAATTCGCTGTCTGCTCGGAGTTATTTCGCTTTTTTTTCTGGAGAGATTACAACCGAAATATAGACGACCGCCGTCGCCTTCGAATGGGAGCCACCACGGCGACACCCTGGGCCCCACAGACCCGCCTTTGTCCCACCCCTTCTGTCAAATTCCACGCCTCTGGTTGGTCAATATCGCTGTCACTTAACCAAGCACTCTAATATGATTGGCTCTCTTCGTAAAGGGAGTGTCTTAGATTGACAGAAAGGGCAAATGTTACTGCGTACTTTACTCGGACATTTAGGCTCAAAGCTCCCATTACTTCACTGAGTGAAACGCATCTAATGATCCAATATGGCGGCCGGTTTCTTGCGGATCTTTCCTAGCCGGGGTGTGTTTCAGTTTTCATGGCAAGCTGGCATTTGATGCGGTGACTATCCCAGCTGTGAGTCAGGCAAAGTGATGTCATATATAAGTACTTCTGTGCTTGTTACGGGCGTTTCCCACATCCTCTGTTCTGTGAACTGTAAGGACATGTATCCTTTAAAGCCTGTTAATAACTGGAAACACACCGAGAGTGTATCTGCGTGTACACAACATTAAAGTAGGTTCCTTAGACTGTGTGTGTGTGTGTGTGTGTGTGTGTGAGTGTGAGTGTAACTCTTTCCTTCTTCCGCCTGTCAGAGTAGTTTGACTCTCAGACACTCCTTAGGAATGTTGAGTATGCCCTGCTTTCTGCTGCCGAGTACAGACATGCCACAAAGTAAAAAAGAAAGACATACAGGAAGAAAGGTATAAAGAGATAAAGACAGAAAGGAAGATATAAAGAAAGAAACATACAAAGAAAGAAATATATCAAGAAAGACATAGCCTAAAGAAGGAAAAGTATAAGGCATAAAGAAAGTAATAAAGAAAAAAAGGTACAACAAGAGAAAGACAAATAAATATATAAAAGAGATCTTAATAAGTCAGAGAAAAGGAAAAGATGGAAGTTTTGTGTTGTAATGGTCATTAAAATTTGATAATCCATCGAACAGCTGCCAGTGGTGGAAAGTAAGTTAGTATATTTACTCAACTTTAGAGAAGAGAAGAAAAGAGTAGAGAAAACTTATGTTATTCCAAGGGAAGTTGTTGTGCAGCAGTTGCAATACAAAGCAGGAAAGAGTATGAATAGGCCTATAAAGAGTGCAAATAAAGCAAAATATAAACCTTAAGGATGCAAAAAAACAAATATAGCTACACAAGGCCCAAAAGTAGGAAGTTAACGATAATGTGTAAATTCAAAACAGAGCAAAAAAGAATACTGAAGTACTGTGCCAAAGTCCAATCCTGAGGTACTTGTACTTTACTTGAGTGTGTTCATTTTCTGCGTCTTTATACGTATTCCTTAATACAACTCAGAGGGAAGTATTGTAGTTTTTACTCCTTTTCTCCACTCAATTTATTTGATAACTTTAGCCCTTTTCCAGAGACAGATTAAAAGGCTAATGATGTTAAGAAGAATTTATTTATCGATAAAAAGAAATTTGCAAGTTACCCAACATTATATGAAGCAGCTTATGTTTAAAAAAAATGTATGAATAAATTAAGTTTAGTCCCACATTTTGTTGCTAACAATTATCACAATTCATATATAATATATTTTATTCTGAATTGGACCATTCTACAAAATGAGTACTTTAACATCTGGTACTTTAAGTATACTTTGATGTAAATACTTTTGAAGTATTTCAAAACTTTTTGAGATCTGATTTCAATTACCTTTTAATTAGGCCTACTAATTAAATAGTTTTCAACAGTTATCAGTGAAAATATGCATTTCATTTAAAGGTCCAGTGTGTAAGATTTAGGAGCATCTACTGGCAGAAATCACCTGAAAATAAGGACTGCTGTGCTTTCCTTACCTTGGAATGAGCTGTCTATAAGTACATATAGAGCAGGTCCTCTTCCACTGAATCTGCCATCTTGTTCTACAGTAGCCCAGAGCGGACAAATCAAATACTTCAAATACTGGCTTTAAATAGGGCCATTCGCATTTTTATGTCGGTTACTGTAGTTCTCTTACATACTTGGCCTACGGGAGAAGTATCAGCTTTGCAACCTCAGTGCTAGGTCCTTCAGTCCTTCAAGCTGGACCTTTAAGAACTAAGGTGGGTGCCATAACAAGACACCAAGGGATATAAAAGTAATTTTAAAAGCATATAAAGTGTGTTAAATATTCATAACTATCCATTCAATTTCTGTAACAGCTTATCCTGTTGGGAGTCGCAGGGGTGCTGAAGCCTGTCCTAGCTGACATTGGGTGAGAGGCAGGGTACACCCTGGACAGGTCACCAGACTATCACAGGGCTGACACATAGAGACAGACAACCATTCACACTCACATTCACACCTATGGACAATTTAGAGTCACCAGTTATCCTGCATGTCTTTGGACTGTGGGAGGAAGCTGGAGTACCCAGAAAAAACCCACGCTGACAAGGGGAGAACATGCAAACTCTGCACAGAAGGGCTTAACTATCCAAACTAAGTAGAATACGACAAATATATACAGGTTGTTTTTCATACCACATGTACATATAGTTCTGAGGGGAAATCAAAAAGAGCTCACTCATCCACCTCCATGAATGTCTGCGTACAGTATCTTATTAACCATCCAGTGGTTTCACCAAAGTGGAAAGTTCCCAGCCACGCCGACAGCATGACCAAAAAGAGAAAAAAGATGCAGCCATCTAAACACAAACCAGTCCATGCAGAGCCTAAACCAGATGTTACAGAGATTTAAAAGGTGACACACAACAGAAGTTTTCATGGAGCTCACAGATTCTGTTTAGGCAGCACTTTAAGGTTTCAGTGCTTAAATGAAGACTGGCCTAATTTTTATTTTAGTTCACAGTTTAATTGTATCCCTGCCGTGTCTCTAAAACAGTTTGTTATGCCAATAAATCATGTCCTAACACAAAAATCCTCCCAGATCAGGGTGCATTCCTGTATTTTGCTGCGTGGGGCCCCAGGGTTCATCTCACACTCCCACAAACTGCCAGAAACTAACACTCAAACCAACCACTCAAATCTCTACACTTCTCCGGCTGTGATAGTTATGTACGTATAAAGAAGAAGTCTGTCTTCAAATGAATGTTTGTCACCTAAACAAGATGATTATATGGGTTTTAGTTTGGCTTTCTTGTCTTTAATAGATGTCGGACAGTTAAAAGGTGACAGAAACAAGGGAGGAGACAGAGAGAGGAAATAACATGTTACTGGGTAACTGAGCAGCAGTTCAGCATGTTGAGCAGGAGGCCACCAGGACGTCCCAGCTGCACTGTAGGTAGTGTTCAGTTTGAAAACATTGCTGCTTTCCTCAACAGTAAAACACTTTAATCTTTATAGGTAAAACAAGCTGTCGATTAATCAATTAGTTAAGCGTTTAAGTAATTTTTCAAGCAAGAGTTTTCTGCCTTTTCTTTTCTTTTCTTTCTGATGGTAAACTGTTCATCTGTTTTATCTGTACTTTTTTTTACACCCTACCAGTAGTTCCCAACTGGTGCAGCCACAGGGTCCAGATTTCTCCTTAGTCACATGTTCAAGGTCCACACAGTTTAATACATTCAGCCATGTCATCAAACTAGTTTGCTGTCTCTCTCAAGTATCTGTCGGTTAGTCAATCACTCTATGGTAGGGAAACTCACTTTGAAATAAAAACCCTGTGCCAGAAATTCACCGTAAAGTGTGTTTTTTCCTAACATGACACATTTGTGAATCATTTGCGGTCCATAAGGAATGGACCCACAACCCACCAGTTGGGAACCACTGCTCTACACAGTGCATCAGTTCCATTGCTTATATGTGACAATATTTATCTATATGGTTCCTGTTAAGTAAACAAATCAATCGATAAATAAAAAGGAAATATGTTAGAATGAACTTTTAAGACAATATGAACGAGAAGTCCTTAAAGCTCAAAATAAGCAAGGGAGGTGGCCACTAGCTGACCTGGTAGAGCAGGCGAACAGGCTGTGTCCTGTGTCATTCATCCTCTCCCTGCCCCCCTCATGCTTTATCTGCCCTATCAAATAAAGACAAAAGACCCTAAAAAATATATTTAAAAAATAATAATAAAGGGAAGTTTGAACATCTTCAATTCCATGACAACTGGGCCACTCCATCTTTTAAAGAGGAATTGGATGACTTGATCAAAGGCTCCAGAGCAGCTACTAAATGCACAGCAAAGAACTTTTACTCTCAGAATATACCTAGTAAGTTCTGAACTGATTGTACAAAACAAGCACTCTGAGATTTATTAAATTATGATTGTCATTTCTGACTATTTTTCTGACCTTACAGACAAACAATTCTTTAACTAATCAAGAAAATAACAGGCATTTTAATCCATAGTGAAAATAATCTTGTGTTGTGGCCCCATACAAACCATTTACACCTGCAATATTTACCAGCTTTTATTTGGAACAACTAACGGTGCTACTCAGTATTTGTTTTCAACTGAATTTCACTCATTCTCTCCATATTTGTATTTAGGCCATGCAATGAATTCCTTTCTTCTTGTATATAATACACTTAGGCCTGATCTTTACAATCCCATTCATTTCAGTTTGACGGGCAAATATTCCTAACATCCTATTTGCAAATCAACGCCCTGCTGATGACTCATAAAAGGTGACACCACCGGCGCCCAAGCCGACGGGATTATCAGCACACATATGGGTAATTTTCCAGTCCTGCTCAGACACATCAGTCAGTCATTTGTTGCGTGTGCAGCCAGATTAAACACGTGATGCTGACGGGACTCATCAAAGGTTATGAGGATGTTATGTCTTCAGAGGAATAATGTGGTGTGTTGAATTCCCCATGTGGCTGAGCCTTTCCTCTTTCTGCTTAATCAAGACTACATCAGCGTTAACACACAACACTGTCACAGTCATATTATAAAAAGGGAAATATCACATGGAAATGAAGGTTTTAATGGGAATCACCCATGAAAAACCCTCCACTGTCTCCTCCTACATTACACCTGGAAACAGTCATGCTTGTTCCAGTGATCACCTGACCTGTTTTAGTGACATTGACTGTCAGCAGTCACAGTGTAGTGCACACCTATATCACCAGGTGGTGCTGTTGAGTCATGATTAAATGGTCAAATAGGTCTAGTGACAATTCATGATTTTGGATTCGGCCTCCTTGTCCTTAATTTGTGTCACTTTGGGAGCCCAGCTGAATAACAACTGGTGGAAGAGTAGTTTCAGAGAGCAACTTCATGGAAATGACCATTTGAGAAGTGAATGCAGGATTTTATATATTTTACATACTCTTAAAAAGCATTTTAAAATACATTTTACTAGGTCCTGTTTAGGAATCTGAAATATATAGAGATTCTAATACTGATTAATGGGCTCATACGATGGCAGACAGGGATCTAGTGGATTATAAACCCTCCTTAACTGAACACAGTCTCCTTTTTGGTGTAGAGTTTTTAACATTTTAAACCTGACATCAAATCTTTGACATATATTCAGATGAAACATATTATGAAACTAATATGAATTATGTGTGGCTAGTCTTTCGCAGCAAAACGTATTAATTTTTAAATGGAAAATATTTGTTGATTATACTGGAGGTTGTTTTTGATAATCACCGCCTGCAGGTCATAATGTGCCTTCTTACCTTGAAAAGAAAAGAAAGAGGTTTTCTCACAATATAACTCCAGCTAAACATCAGGGAATTACAACCACATAAACATTTTGTTATAAATAAAAAATATCCACCCTAAAATAGAACTTGTGTCATTTCAGTGCTCCTCTTCAAGAGCTGAGTTATTACTATAATAAAATACAAACTTCCTCCCTTTACACTTAAAATGAATTTAATTATTTCACTTGTCATTTTTAAGTTGCAACATCTTAACAAAATTAAGTAAATATAACTTAATTTGAGATAAACTTGACAATAAGGTATAAAATAAACATAACTTGAGAGTAATAGTTAATTTACTTAAATTTTTACAAGATTATTTGTAAAGTATGATCAACCTGTCTGATTTTATAATGTAGATATTGCATCTAAATTAAAGTAGGGCTTCAAAGTCATAGAGTTTGCCCATATCCCAGTTAAATCAAAATGTTGTCAAGGTCCTGTGTGTTATTTATCACGTATAGAGCAGATTGCACCATCACTATAGTCTCTTTTTCTCTCTGCAGTTCATCTAAAGTAGATTTTTATTTAAGAGTAAAAATTAAAACAGTGCATTAAATATGTTACACAAATGTTGTAGGGTTTTCATACAAAAATTCAGTTTACAAAAGTATTCAACATCAGTTTTATTCCCCCTGGTTAAAGTAAATATTATGAGATATAGAGGTTTCTGTCTCTTCATCAGTCTTAAAGCAAAGGTAGTAGCCTATACAGAGACAAAAGATAGCTTAGTGCCCTTTAAACTTTGTTCAAACTCAATTTTTTATTTTTATCTTATTTATTTATTTATCTATTTGTATTTCTATCTTTCTTTTATTTTTATTTTTTAAATTCTGGAGGAAATCACAACTTTTCCAAAGACAGAAAATGTGTAGGCTATTTGGGTAAAACATCACACCTGCCCAGGTACAACAGCTGAAAATTGAAAACTGTATAATAAAACAATAACTAAAACATTATTGTACATACATTTTGCACAAGACATCTAGAATATGGGGCAGCAATTAAAATAAAGAGCAAAAATAACCCACGGGTTTAAACAAAATTAATTAATTATCTTCAATATGTTGGAGCATCAACAGCGTAAATTGTTTACAACCATAAACAGACACAAATATTCAGATTAGTTGTGAGTTGAACAGTCAGTGTGTCCCGGTGAGGAGTTGGTGGCATAGGTTGGTGGCAGTCTTGGACAAGGATCAACTCAACAGTGAGACAAAACTCCATTTCCCATGATCCTATGTTCCACTCCGCAGTGATGTGGGGTGTGGTGTTTGAATGACTGTGTGTGGCTGTGTGTTCGTGTGTGTGTCTGTGTGAGTGTGTGTGTTGCCTACGGAAAGGGGGGCTCCGTCTCTCCGCACAGACCGAGAGCCGCAAATCCACCTCGGAGCATCGGTGAGCGGGGACAGGAGGATGCGGGACAGCGGTGTGTAGCGGATCTACCGGGGCTGTGAAACCAGGACGGTATGAGTGTGATATCTGGAGTGAAGGTTTTTATTGTCGGCGGTGTTGGATTTTTTTATTCACCGAGTGAATCTGGACGTGGATCCGCAATGGAGTGTCGATTCAGCGCGTGAGAGCTGCTGACCGTCTGTGTATTTGTGAGCTGATATTACAGACAATAAGGACAGGGAATTAGCCATTACAAATCTTATTATTGGTGTTGGTAATTAAAGGAGTATGTGTTATTGGGCACTGTAGCTGTTTTCTTTATGATATGATCCAGAAGCCATACTGAATTTGTTATTAATTATAAAAATCGATGGTTACACAATTCACAGTCAGACAGGAGGTTGATTAAAGGCATTATACAGGTTGTCAGCCTTTTTTAATTTAAATTATTTAAATCATTTTTGGTGCTGACAAGAAGAAACAAAAGCCAGTCATGTCAAAAAACAAGAGCAGTGAGTCAGTGAAGGTGGTAGTTCGATGCCGTCCCTTGAACCAGAAGGATGAGTCCAACGGGCCTGCAGGGGGCATCATACAGATGGACCTGCAGCTCGGACAGGTGATCCTCAGAAACCCTCGAGCACCTGCCAGCGAGCCCCAGAAAACATTCACATTCGATGCTGTTTATGATGCAAACTCCAAACAGAGAGATCTGTACGATGAGAGTGTGCGGCCACTGATAGATTCGGTTCTGGCAGGGTTTAATGGCACCATATTTGCCTATGGACAAACCGGAACTGGAAAGACGTACACCATGCAGGGAGCGTGGTTGGACCCAGAGAGACGGGGTGTGATACCCAACGCTTTCGACCACATCTTCACACACATCTCCCGATCGCAGTCTGATAAGCAGTATCTGGTGCGGGCGTCCTACCTCGAGATCTATCTGGAGGACATTCGGGATCTTCTTGATCCCAATCACGGCAGCGCCAAGGCCCTGGAGCTCAGGGAGAGTCCAGAGTCTGGGGTGTATGTGCGTGACCTCACGTCATGTGTCTGCAAGAGCATCAAGGAAATCGAGGAGGTGATGAACGTTGGCAACCAGGCGAGGGCGGTCGGGGCGACAGACATGAACGAACACTCGTCCCGGTCGCACGCCCTGTTCCTGATCACAGTGGAGTGTAGCCAGCCTGGTCCAGATGGGCGGAAACATATCCGTGTCGGCCGCCTCAACCTGGTGGATCTGGCCGGCAGCGAGCGCCAAGCCAAGACAGGTGTCCAGGGTGAGCGCCTGAAAGAAGCTGCCAAGATCAACCTTTCCTTGTCAGCACTTGGAAACGTGATCTCAGCACTGGCCGATGGGCGCAGCAGCCATGTGCCATACCGGGACTCCAAGCTGACCCGTCTGTTGCAGGACTCTTTGGGCGGTAATGCAAAGACTGTCATGGTCGCCACTTTAGGCCCAGCCTCCCAACACTATGACGAGACCCTCACCACACTCCGCTATGCCAATCGGGCCAAGAACATCCAGAACCAGCCACGAGTCAACGAGGATCCCAAGGATGCTCTGCTGCGCGAGTTCCAGATGGAGATTGCTCGCCTCAGGGCCCAGCTCCACCACAGGAAGTGGAGGAGCAAACAGAAGAAGGAGCAGGTGGACAGCGAGGGCTGGGAGAGAGACGGGGACGAGGAGACGGAGGGTGAGGAGGATGAGGGGGCGGAGAAGGAGGCGGAGGACTATGTGAAGCTGGAGGAGCAGCGGTTGGAGAGGGAGAAACAAGACATCAGAGAAGATCAATTCCTGTTGGCGGAGGAGAAGCAGAGGCTCCTGGGGGAGAAGGAGAGGATGATGGGAGATCTGAGGAAAGAGCAGGAAGCCACCGAGCAACTGACCGCCAAGTACAAGGTGAGGGATCGAACCTGTGAGTCCAGTCAGAAGCTTCACTCATTCATTCTAAACAGACAAAATGTAAACATGCACAGAATCAAATGTCATAAAAACACAGATAAGGACAAAACAAACAAAGATGGCAACCAGTTACCCATAATGCCCTGCTCTGATTTTACATTAAGTCCAATTAACAGCCAACATCATCATATCAAATAATACTAATAATCTATATGACACTGGAGGTCATTTATCAGTCAGAAAACTAACTTCACATCCATTTTTATCAATGAAACAGATTCTCCTGGCGTCATCCTCCTTTCTCTCTCTTTCACACACACACATACACACACACAGTCCAGACAATCTAGGAAGTCAGATTAAGGACATGTGGTTGGCGGGATTATCATGTGTGATAATCTTATGAGCTGTTATTAAGGAACATTATGGACAGTAACACTGTGCGCGTCATATCTAATTAAATCTGTGTGTGTGTGTGTGTGTGTGTGTGTGTGTGTGTGTGTGGGTACAACATATCAGGTATAACTGAAAAAGAAATACTCTCTACATTAAAGGGGCCCTCCATCAATTGACGAATGTACTTCCATAAAGTTGGGAGACTTGTGTGGAAAACAATAGTCAAAATCAATGCAGCGGACTGGATCTTGCATTACCCATAATGCCACTTGAGAGCGTCTCTTCGGTAGACCCTGTCATTATTTATGTTGTTCGTTGGCTTGTTAGCCTGTAAGCTAACCTGCAGTGGCTGACACTACATCATAGTTTGTGAAACATACAATAATATCTGGGGGTTTTGGTAGATAGTGGAAGGAAGCTCCAGGATTCCGTTTACATCCAAGGACTACACACTCTACCATGTTGTATAGTACCTAATCTAGCTTGCCAGACATCGCCCCCTTCAGTAGAGGATACTGAAAACACCTCTCAAATGACAAACCTTGCACAGACACAAGTCAGTATAGTCAAGTTCATTTTAGGGGACATAAACACATTTTTGAGTGGAGGGGGACGTTAACGTATCCATTTGGTGTTTTTTTACGTGATACAAGACATTTCATGAGAGAAAGATTTGGGCAGTTGTGGCTCAAGAGGTAGAGCAGGTTGTCCACTGATCGGAAGATCAGCAGTTGGATCCCCAGCTCCTCCACTTTGCATGTGGAAGTATCCTTGAGCAAAATACTGAACCCCAAATTGTTTCTGGTGGCTGTTCCATTGTTGTGTAAGGGTGTTAAAGAGTAGGAGTCTGAGTAGCAGGTGGCTCCTTGTATGGTAGCCTTGGCCACCAGTGTGTGAATGGGTGAATGTGACATGTAGTGTTAAACCCCTTTGAGTAGTTGGAAGACTAGAAAGGCACTATACAAGTACAGGACCATTCACCAGAAATAAGTAGTCAGTGCCATGGCTGAGCATTTTTGCCTTCGAACTGCAGTGTACCAATGACAGTTTCAAGAACACGAGTCCTGACATCCAAGGTTTTGTTACATCACAAACCAAATAAACCAATCCCGTCAACTTGCGGGGTATCAGAGGAAAGGTCAGGTGTAGCTACATATAGGTATTTTGCAACTGGAGAGCTTTTTGATGCGATACAAAAACTGTGTTTCATTGTGAAACCCACATTAGTGTATAATTCTCTGGTTTATAAGTGAAGTGCATGAGCTATACTGATAAACCAGACTGAAGTCTCTACTTGCAGTGACACGCAGAGTGACGGCATGGCTGACTCATATGAGCAGGTCCAGTGTGGACTGAATGCACATCAGCAGGTCTTCGTCATTTACATCTGGAGTATGAAATGCCTGTATTGTGACTGTGCTGTATTTTTAGAAACCATGATCATCTGGTCACATCTCTCACTGTGTCAAGGAGCTGTTTCACCCCCTCTTCCTAACCTTGCAATTCTTGGACTCAAACAACTGAAATTACATCCAGTAACTAGTACTGCTAATGGCAGAATGTTATCAGTGGGGTGTTTTTGCAACTTCGGCATCAAGGATTCTTGTGTTCTTGTGTATAACACCTTCAGTAGTACCTCTACGTAAAAACTAGTTCGTGTGGTGCAACCTGTTTTATTGAGGGATGCTAATTCTCCACTTAAAAACATTTACCATATAACTAGGTTTAGTTTAACGTGGCTCCAGCACCAGCGTTTCCAGTGACTGGTTTTATTTGTGAGCGGCCCTTTCTCCACAGACTGGACGGGTGTCTCATATGTCCCAACAAGAACTGGTGACCACTGTAGCTTAAAATGTCAGTTCTCTCTTTGTCCTACTGGCACATGCACGCAGCAATCAAAGACTGGATCTGAGTTGCAGTAATTACTTGCTCTGATTCATGGCATTATTCAGTCAATAAGTCAGCCATGCAGAATGACTGAATCACTGCAGTGTATAATACAGTAGCTGCAGCCTGGACCATCAAACGTGAGCCACTGGTGGATCATCCTACAAAGGTCCAAAGGTCCTAGTGTGAGGAAATGAGAGGAAGGAGAACATATTTTCAGTGTGGGAACAATGGCAGGCTGAGCTGAGTTTGTATCCCTGCTAGTACCCTCTTTCTCTCTTATCAATTTGGTGGTTTTCTGTGTATTTTAGGAGCAGTGAAGTGTTCTACTTTAAATGTTTGGTGTTCCTACTTTTCACTCAACCTACCAGAGTGCTTTTAACAACTCCCAAAGCAGAGGTGTGATGGGTAATATACGATCTGTGTAGGTGGAAGTGGGATAACACACAGAGATTTCACAGTTTCGAGAAACACAGCAAGCACTGTGGCTGCATTACATTCTGGTCTGTTAAAGCTGTTGTCAGTAGACAACATTGATCTGTTTGCTTCCTCTGTGATGGATTTCTGGCATGTAGGGCTGGGCAAAATGGTTGAGATCAATATCAAATAATAATAATATTTATCATGTTGATATTGATGCATAGTGTATCACAATATGAAGAAGTATAAAAAATATGGATGTAGCCACTGCCTTCTGTTTTGAAGCCTCAATGTCATTTTGGCCGTCGCCATCTTGGATTCTTGGAACCAGAAGTGATCATATTCGGAGGAGGGAGTTAAGTTGTGGCGGAGCAAGGGGTGGTTCTGTCTCATAAGCCTCTTTTACACTGCCTCTTCAAGGTGGGAATTTCATTGTTGATGGCGCCGCCTCGCCATTCTGTATCAAAGGTACAATTGTGGCATGGGGGGCAAAGTTGTCTTGCCTTTAAGCTGGCATTAGAGGTAGTAACAATGCCGAAATGAAACTGGATGGAGTGTGGCATTTTGATGGCATATTATTTGTGCGATCCACCACCTGCTCTGTTGTGTTGAGTCTATACAGACCAATACTCAGTGAAAATGAACACAGAAGGAGATGGGCATCAGTCACATGGGCCATTTGTGCCCACAGTGTTTTTGCCAGACGCAGAAACCCTGAGGCATCTGGATCTGAAACGAATATACAGTCATAATGGCGACAGTGAAAATGGCATCCATCTTTAGAATGCTGACAATGTTCCAGATCCTGAGCTTGATATAGAAATCATTCTGTCACTTCCTTTTGTACTAAAACCAGAACCACTGCCTGGTGGATTCAGACGATGTCCTCGAGATGGAAGATGTTGAGGAGAATGAAAATAGAAGATTCAAGTAGTGGGATGAGTTTGATGACACTGACAATGACTGGGACATGACGAAGACGATCCAGTCTCCATTGTCATGGCCCAAAAACTGACATCTATAGAAAAGTTTGGTTTCAAATTCAAGCGGAGCACCTGCAGATCAATTCCATAAAAGATGTGTTATGATCCACTACAAGATGAATCAATCCACATTTTTTTTATCTTCCTTGTCATCTTGCCCGTAAGGCAGCTGGGAGGGACAGTTCCATCGGGTGTAGATCTCTGCAGTCCGTTTTCAACCCACTGTAGTCCCGTCCTTTGAATGGCGTCATACACACCAGCAGCATTACAGAAGTGGAGTGTTTTGCCTGCCTGATTTTGTAGACATGCAGATTTTGCTGATTTGGTCATTTTTCCTTGATACATGTGTTTCTACTATAAGTACGTAAGCAGGCAGTAAATGTTTTTTTTGTGTGTGTTTTAATTGTGTTTAGTTAAGTTATTTATGTATTTGTTGTGCTGTAGCCTACAGACAAAGTTAATATAGTTAAAAGTCCAGTTATGAATACATGGATTAAGGATTTTTTTAAGGATTTTCAAAATTATTGTATAATTATTACAGTATGTATATTTCACATACAGTGCCCAAAATCGATCTGCTCTGTGCACCGCGATGTAGCTCCATCAAAAATAGACAAGAGATGTATTTTTATTAGTTTCTGGGACACTTATGAAATACACTGTGGTGCATCTGCTGGAATAACAAGAACTGTCAAGGGCAGCAATTGGCTCAGGTGGCTGCCTTGCTGATATCTGCCCTCTACTGAGTGCACTTTCCTGGTTTGATATTTTTTGTCTTTGCATGTCCAGCTCCAGTTGCAACCCAGTCTCCAAGAACTTACATTGTTACATGTTACATTTGTATGCTTTCTTGATAACATTATATTGACAATGTAATCACTGCCTGTATTATGTTCACAGACAATGTTTCTTTTAGGCAACAAAACAGTAGATTTATATACGGCAAAGGCGTCAGAAGAAGGTGGATAGGCAGGATGGTGGGTGTACAAAGTGCAGGACTTTGACATCAGAACTTCAGGTTCACGTCCAGACTTATATCAGTGGTTTGGGCAACAAAGGAACTTTGGTAAAGGTTTGGAAAAATTGGAATTTCAGTGAAATGTTAATAAAAAAAAATGCTGTAGTCACTATGAGTGCATACCGTTGGCAAAAAAATAAATGAAATGCGTTTTCAGTGAACATTTTGCTGTTAAGTTCAGTATCAACATTTTTGCGATTTGCCAGGTACTGTATGAAAATTAGCAACATTTCCTCATTATTTTAATAGAAAACCTACGTCACTTAGCATTATATTTTTTTTCCTGAAAACAT